ATCCATCCATCCATCCATCCATCTATTTTTTTATCCACTTTTATGTGGTAAAGTAAAAAGAAAGTGGAGAACTGGTGCCTACAGATAAACTTTTGAAAACTAATACTGAACATTTAAAATCTGCTTCAGAATCATGTCCACAGTGCAAAGCATCTAAAAAGAGATTATAACCTCTTCTCCTAATGTCATTTTTTGTTTACAAGAAAAAAAGTAGGATGTTTTAGCCAACTGTGTGTCTTCTGTTCCAGAGTGTGATAATTGTGCTTTGACTTTACTACGGGACTTGGAAAACATTGACGATGAGCTGGAAAGGATCAAGAATCAACTTGACAATGTTTCTGTCAGTACCACGTCTAAGGACAGGCTGGAGAAGCTGGAGAAGGCCATGTCAGACACCAAGGTAACATATAAACCAGGCTCTGGGTGCAGGTCTGGAATTAATGTACAATCCCAAATCAGAATCAGAGAATCTATGTTCAAATAGTCAACATTGCATGCACCATCATGAATCTTTATTTACATTTCTGCTTTTGTCATCTTTGAAGATTCTTGTCAGCAAATTTAGCTCCTCCATCAGCACCCAAAAGTCCAAAGTTGACCAGCTGGATAAGGACATGGCCAACATTGCAGATGATATTGCCTCGCTCAAGGAAAAGGTAGACTACACAATAATGCATTAAACACTTAAGGCTTCAATTTAGGGTAACAAGTAGAAATGTATGTATAAATGTGCAATTATGGAATGTGTTTTTTTTTAGGCTAACGAGAAAACTGCTGATGCTGAAAAGGTGGTGGCAAACGTTGATAAAACCCACAAGAGGGCGAAGGATCTGGAATCAGATATTCAGAACATGCTGAAGAAAATAACAGGTAAAGAGAAACATATATTCAGTGGCAAATATTTGCCATCATATGTTGTCTGTTTTCAACTTTCTATCAGATATTTGCTTGACCAAGTGTCATATTGTTATTTTAGATTTGCTAGACCAGCTGAGGAATCAAAACGGCAGAGGGGATTCGTTTCCCAGTGACAGCTTCACTAAAATGCTAGAAGAAGCTCAGCGCATGGTGAAGGAGATGGAGAACAGAAACTTTACCTCTCAGAGGACAGCTGCTGAAACAGAAAGAGACAAAGCAAAGAAACGTAAAAAAATTAGTTCAATTTTACATCAACCCCCTGTTAAATCTTTCAGATCGTTGTAGTGATTAGGTTAGGAGAAATCATTCTGACTTCATCGCCTCTCCTCTTTAGTGCTAGATTATGTCAAGAACAACATGAGTGAGCTGTGTGACCAAAACGAGGCGGCAGCAGACAAGATCGGGAGCCTTCTGAAGGATTTCAATACCAAGCTGAAGGAACTGGATGAGGCTTTGAAGGAGGCGAGGGACTTGGTGAAAAAAGCCAATGCGCAGAACGGTCTCAATGCTAAGACACTGGAAATCCTGCAGGTTAGAAAACAACACCGGCTACAACTACAGCATTTCTTTTAGAAAAATCTCACCACTATACATATTATAAGACATGTTGCATGTAAGACAAAGTCTCAAATACCACACATGCTATGTGCATTTGTGCAATAAGCACCTTAGTTAGTAAAATGTAAGCCTCACGGTAAATTGATCCCAACAGAAACGCGTTAAGGACTTAGAAGAGGAGCGGAAAATCGTGGAGGATCAGATGGCCATGGCAGAGGATGAGCTGCAGAAGACAGAAGATTTGATGAAAATGCTCACTGACAGTAAAACGGTAGTTTGCAAACTTTTTTCTTTTTCACTCTTGCAGATCCTGTAATTTACCATCTCTCAAAGTAAGCAAAGAACTTCTGTAGTTGACTAAAAATAATCAAAAATCCAGTTAGATGTCAAGGCTGTACCATCCACTGTGATTATGATGTTTTTGCTTGTTGTGCTTTGATGTAAGGTCAGTTACATTTCCAGGTGCTCTGGCTTGCTAGCATCTGTTCACCTGTCTTCTTTCTTTGTTGCAGGAGTATGAACAGCTAGCTGCACAGCTGGATGGTGCCAAGAACGATTTGACCAAAAAAGTGCAAGAGATCGCCAAGGCAGCAGCCCAAACTGACATTGTTGAGATTGCAGAAGAACATGCAAGAAACCTAACCAAACTAGCCAAAGAGCTTGAGGAGTAGGTTCATAGTTCATATCATAAAAAACATTTTTTTTTAAACAATTTTAAATCTAAAACCATAAAGTCTGTGGTATTTTTACCATCCTTTAGATTATTTCTGGGCTTTGTCAGTTCAAGGCATTCATATTTTCTATGAAAAGAATTCTATAATTTTCAACTGTTAATCTAACAAATATTCACATTTATTGATATATTCTTGCTCCACGTTGTCTTGTATGACAGTGGTGTGAAAAATGCAAGTGGACGTCCTGAGGTGCGTGATGCGAAAGATGCCATTGAGGCCTACAAAAACATCATAAATGCCATTAATGCTGCAGAGGCAGCAGCTAATGAGGCCAAAGATGCTGCAGACACTGCACTGAATGTAAGTCACACACTAAATATCTTACATGTGATCCCTCCAAACCTAGTTTTAGTGTCTTGTCACTTCAACTTTCAACTTGAAGATTTTTTTTCCTTTAGAATGTAAAATCCCAGAATTTGATAGAAAAAGCAAAAGAGCTGAGGGAGAATAGTGACGACCTGCTGAAGAGTGCAGAGGACGCAGAAAAAAACCTGCAGGGTATGCAGACACACTTTTAAACCCTTGTTGTTAAGTTATTTTTGAAGCTCATTTGCTGAGTTTTGCTTTTCCATCGCAGATACAGCCGGTGACCTCGCTGACCTGAAGAAGCGCCTGAGCGAAGCTGAGCAAAAAAAGACGGCTCTCGAGAAAGACCTCCTTGATGCTCAGAGTCAATTAAACGACATCAAAATGGGTAAACTGGAGCACAGTTTTAGGGTTAATGCTGTTTGTGCAGTCCATTCATGCCTGTTCTGTGTTTTTATTGCTTGTTTTCTCTGCATGGTTGTGGCTGTCAGACGACATTAGGAATACGCTAGACGAGGCGAAGAGGAAAGCAGCCTCGGCCAATGATTCAGCCTCCAACACTATGGACAAACTCAATGCCATGAAAACAGAGATGGATAAGATCAACCTCAGTCCTGTGGATGCCAACATCAACAACGTACTGAACGATGTGGACCAGTCAGGTAAGATTTAGAAAAAACAACAACTGAGAAGACGTTTTTCTTCTTCATAACATCTTTTATACAATATATTATTATTTACCGATTTATCTTTTACTTCAGTGAAGAATTTGTGGAACACAATCCCATCTCTGGACAATAAGATCTCAGAGGTGGAAAACCTGACCTCGCAGTTCTCGCCCATTAACAACATATCTGAGAGCATCAGGAACATCAAAGACCTCATCGAACAAGCCAGGGATGCAGCAAACAAGGTCAGGTCCAGCTCTCCAAACACGGCCGTGCAGAATGAATGTGATGTCTGAAACAGCTGTCCTTATCCGTCCTCGTTGCACCTCCAGATTGCGATCCCCATGAGGTTCAGCGGAAACGCTCACGTAGAGCTGCGTCCACCAACGAACCTGGACGATCTGCGAGCGTACACATCTCTGTCTCTGTCGCTGCAGAGGCCCGTCGGCAGGGGCGACGGATCCCGCAGACGCAGACAGGTGCCGTCGGGCATGTTCGTGTTGTACCTTGGCAACAGAGACGTGAGTGGATCAAAACTGTGCGAAACACTTCGGACATTGAGGTGCGAGTTTTGGCGCTAACAAACTGTATGTTGCAGTCCTCGAAGAACTACATAGGGATGGTTCTGAGGAGCAACGTTTTGTACGGTATCTACAAGCTCAACGGGGTTGAATATGAGATGAAAACGAATTCCATTACAACATCAGGGCCTGAGCAAGCCATGTTTGACAGAGTAGACCTACGCAGGTAAACCAGCTGTTTGAATGAATCACCACTCATGGCTGTTTTGAGTCAGCGCGGTCTGTAAATGAAATATTTTCAATGTCTCATTTAGAATTTACCAAGATGCAGAACTAGCCCTGACCAAAGAAATAAGCTCGACTGCACCTAAAGACCCAATTAAGAGCAGCAGTCAAGGAGAGGAGACCAAGGACCTCCTGGATGTCACTCCCAGTGACATTGTTTTCTACGTTGGAGGCTACCCCGCCAACTTCACTGTGAGAAGCATGAGCAGAAACACCAGGGAGTATTAATCATTAATAATCATTGCATCTTTAATACCTTGCTCTGTCTCGCTTCTCCCCAGCCCCCAGCTTCTATGAACTACCCACAATACACGGGCTGCATCGAGTTTGCTTCTTTTAATGACAAAGTTTTAAGTCTGTACAACTTCCACACGGAGGAGAATGTCAATTCAGAGACTCCCTGCAAAAGGTATGATTAGTCTTTACACACTCTGGTATACTTTTTAATCCCTTAAGTAAATATAAGCATGTGTTTGTTGAAGTGTCGGTCAGTATACCCAGGTCTTGATGAAACATTTATTTGATTCATTATTATCCAGATACCTACCTCCAGTTGATTCGGACATGTATGAAGGTACCGGATATGGAAAAGTGAAGATAGATGAAATAAAAAGGACGTATATAAAGATCAGCATGAGTATCTTAACTTATTTACCAGACGGCCTGCTGGCTTTTATCGGAGAAGGGGTGAATATTTCTCATATTTTTAAATATAAATCCATCCAATATCTTTACCCGCTTCTTACTTTACGGGTCGCGGGGGGTCACTGGTGCCCATCCTTCCAGAACAATTTCAGAAGCGCTTTTTAAAAACTTGAATTTTAAAAGTTTCCTCCATGATGCAGGACAATTACGTAATGTTGACAATGGAGGGTGGTACCTTATTTGCACGAGGTAATCAGTTTGAAGAGTCTCCAGTCAGCTTTTCAATTCCAGGAAAACCATTTCCGGTAAGAATCCTTTTTTATTTTTCTAACCTTTTACATGTTTTAGTTACATTTCTTAGGCGTTTCTTTCAGAAGTGAGTCCTTCATCTGTATCTTGCTGCACTTTTCAGACCAAAGACTGGATGGACCTACAGTTATTCATAATGGGGACGGGACTTGTGAGAATCTCTGTGGACTCTGTCCCACAATTTGGAAACAAACCTGTGTATAATATCAAAGATTTTAAAGAGCTCTATGTTGGTGGTGCACCACGGGAGCTGAGGGAAAAGTATGTGTTCATTAATATCCTCCTGACTGTCAGGTAGAGTCTCATCCTGCTTCAAGAATGACCTCAATTATTTCCCCCTTTACAGATTTAACATCACCCTTCGACCGTTCAAGGGATGCTTGAAGAATTTCAAGTTGCAAGATGGGTTTAAGCCTATTGATGAACCATATGGCATCAGTAAAGGTTGTCAAACAAAATCACTGGTATGACATTCGTTTGAGTGAACACTCATAGCACTGCCCTACTCACAGCCAGGTTTTTGTTCCGCTGATGATCTGATGTTTGTTCTGCTTAGGTTGTACGCCAAGCCCAGTTCAGCTTGGAGAGCTCCCTTTCTGCTGACCTGGCAGGCTTCACTCTGGATAAAGACATCACCGTGTCCCTCGGGTTCAAGAGTACCGACAACCAGAGCCTTATTTTGCAGGACAAGGACCCAGTCAGTCTGCGCTCGTAACACCTGATCAGGACACGTAGTGTTTTTATCAGAACAGTAAAAACTTAATCAAGTTTTCTACTCCTCCCTTTCTTTTTCTTCCAGACAAATGAGATCAGTCTCGCGTTAGCAAATGGTCACGTAGTTCTGCAACTCAATGGCAAGAAGTGGAAATCCAATAAACAATACCACGACGGGCAGTGGCATTACTTGACCGTCACCAACCGAGCAGGAAGGTATCAAAATTAAACAGTTTTCCTTTCAGAGTTACAAGAAATAATGCACCATTCATTACACATTTTGTGGAGTTTAATTCCAACTAACGAGATTAATCCGGTTTTGATTTTGTAATTCTGCATCGACTCCTCAGAGGGATGTAATAAGTGGGCGTCTTAGAAAGTATTTCCAGTGTAATCCTTTTTGCACATTAGCTGAAACAGAAAACAAAAATATAATATACCAATAGATGTATTATTTTAACTACAACGTTAGTGATTTCTTTCAGAGTTGTGCTGCGTGTCGACGATGCTGATTATGGTCAGGAACAGAGTGACACCATGTCCATCACGGGGACAGGCGGCACCGTGGTGCTTGGGAATAAGAAGTTTAAAGGCTGCGTTTCTAATCTCTACACCAGACGGTAATACTTATGTACTTTTCACATTTATTTTTCACACTTCCATCTGTAGGCAAGATGAGTTTTTGTTTTTTTTCCTCTCTGTGTCTGTGTCTGTGCTACTAAAATACCTCATGAACCTGCTGACTTTTGGAATCAACTTGATTAAAGATGGCTGCCACAACTAATTGACCTTTAAAAAACACAAAAAAGGCTACAAATCAATCAGTTTTATAGATATTGAACTAAAAGTTGAGCTTGTAGGAGTTGAGTCATTAACAACACATATTCTGAGTACAAACAAATCAAGTTTTTGTATGAAGTTTTGCTTCTTTAACTTTTTGGAGAAATCAACTCTGACTGTTGGCAAAGTATCTCATGAACCACTGGACCATGCTTGATGAAATTTTCAGGATAATTCTTGGATGTACCGCTGCTACAGCCGACTTACCATAGCCAACTCAAAAAGGGTATAATAAAGCCATTTTTACAGATATTGTGCTATTTGATATAGCTGCAGCTGAATTATTCACCACACATAAAGTAACCCAAGTGCTAATCATTGTGCAAGATATTTGCTTACAACTTCAGCATTAACTGCTGGAGCCAACCCTGTTTGTTTTGTAGCAAAATATTTCATGGAGGACTTGACAGATTCAAGTGAAACTTTCAGAAAATTGACCATTGGATGTATAATACAGATTAACTTTTGGAGTTATTCCAATTTAAATTAGCCACCACAGCTAACTGACATTAACAACACAAAAATGTCCATAACTCTGTCAATTTTACAGACATTCAACTAAATTTAATGTGGTTAAAGCTGAGAGTCATTAACAACACACCATGACATGACATCTTGCAATATTGCATCACCATATTTTTCAGACTATAAGACGCACCGGATTATAAGGGTTATGTTTAAGCAAAACAAAACAGTCAGATAAGTCAAACTTTATTCAACTCATTCACAATAACCACATAAAATCGGTTCGAGGTCAGTAAGCACAACCAGAATTAATACATAAGGCGCACCTGATTATAAGGCTGATTATAAGTGTGATTTATAGTCCGAAAAATATGGTAGGTTTGTGCATAATGTTGATAATTGTTACTAAGATGACCTTAGTATACAACTGGCGGTACCTGATATGCATCATTTCAATGCTAGGCCTTTTATTTTTAAGGATGTCCATTTGTTTCCATTTGTCTTTCCTCTTTGTGATACCTGTGAATCATTGTGACTGCAGGCCTGACAGCCTGTACAAGGCTGAAGACTTCAGCACCTTCCAGATCTCAGGAGACGTCCAGTTGGACGTGTATACAGCGTTCAGTCCTGTCCAGCTGATGCAGGACCGCGCCTCTAAAAAGGTGAGGATTTCACAATCACGCACAGGCTGTAATCCACATATGTGCAGCAATTATTTGTCTCTAAACTGGTGAAAATCAGCAGATTGTTTTTTTCTTAAATCGATGTTAAATCACCTGAGAAATCCACGTTAATTCCTAATACACTGACAAACACTATTAACATGTGGTTTAACACATTGTAGATTCCTGTCACTTAAAGTAAGTCATCTAGCCAACCTAATCTTGTCTCTTTTTGTTTGGTCAAATTGTGTGTGTATTAAACTTTGCTGCCTCGTTTCCAGAGATGAAGAAGAAGGAGACCCTAAGACCTGCCGATGAAGACAAGAACCTAACATTGACTTGAATCCCGAGCGATCTTTTCCGCTTATTGTCCAGCTCGTATATTTGCTGTGTGCTTCAATAAAAACAATACTTGCATGAATGCTTCAGTGCTCGTATCAAACAAGAAAATGTATCTAATCATATTTCTTTTCTATTTAAAGTCAACAATCACAAACTTGTCAATAATAACCTTGAAATGGTTTCACGTCTCTTCTCTTTCTTTCATGTGATGCTCTAACAGTCATTCACAAACACGTTCGTGCTAACACTAACTCACATCTGTCTGCAGCCATGTCTGATTATTAAATTATAAACTTCCCTGAGAATTAAAAGTTTTGATCATAATTCACTCTTTTCTAATCAGTTATTCATTAAAACACTCAGATCTATATCGTAATGATTGCTCAGGTGAAGAATAGGTTTTTTATTTAGATGTTTTGAAGTTATAAAGCTTCTTTAAGGTGATAAATTATAGTCTTCCATTGATGTCAATACTAAATGGGACGTGTTGTTGGCCAGTTATGCCTCATAGTTTTGTGATGAATTTATAAGCAACAACACAAACTAAATGAGGTTGAATTTAAATGAATTCAAGCTGAGAAACTCTGATCTATAAAGTAATAAATCATCAGAATCAAAACTTGGAGCTGAGTGAGAGAATGTCTCACCTAAACTCAGCCTTGAGATAAAAAAAAAAATTTTTAAAAAACGGTAAAGTTTAAAAGTCTTTGAAATTCAATTGATCTGCTTTAAATCCATGAATACAGAGCTGATTGTTCTAATCATACTGACCCTTCCGTCCTCATCCTCATTTTAAATCTATTTTGGAGCTACAGTATTGAGTCTTCAACAGTCTTTGACAACAGATGAATGAGATGAATTATAAAATCTCAATTTATGCTGCTGAGTTTCATAGAAGTAAGAATAAAAGCGTGACACTAGAGGTTGAACTCGGTGGGATAATAAGGAGCAGCAGAAAGTCAAATCACTGGAACAATGTGTTCTGCAAATAATTTCAACCCCATGAGATTTTCTATTGATCTGTATAAATCTATATCATTACATGTACGTGGACTTCCTGCTGTACTTGGGCTTACATCACTGTTTAGATTTTTTTATCATTAAAAAAAAACCTTCAAATGTCATTTTCAGAACCATATTCCAAGTAAATTTGCTCCTGAGCACACAAAGACTAAAAGTCACTCAAATCATATGCAGCAAAACAAGCTCTACATGAAATCAAACAAAGCAAACTATTGTATTTAATTCATTAATTTCTCATGCAGTCGTGATTTCTAGCCTCAGTAGAAAGACGCAGGAATAATGTAAATCTTATGTCATTAACTATTGCTCAGGTCGATTTTAATCACTTCAAATGCAGAAATGAATGAAAACCAGCTAGAGCTGATTATGTATCTGACAAAAACACACAATTTGCCACAAATTTGTTTGACCTGATGAGTGTCCGCTCATTTTAAATCACGTATTACAACACTTTAGTTCTGCAGAAATGTAAATGATCTGGTTTCTTTACCTTTTCACAACTAAAATAAACCCATTAAAGACAAAAACATGCAGCTAAAATGTTAGCTTTACATTTGGGAAGTTTGAATTAAGAATAAATGGTAAGAATGATGGGTAATACGATCACTTAAAAAGAATAAAGTACCTTTTATTGACTCATTAATGAACATTAGATCATATTGCGGTGACCACGCATGCAGGGGGGAAACATGATTGTTGGATTCTGACAGCTATCAAACGTACAATCTCCTTCAACAACAGAGTGGGAGCCATCCACTGTCTTATCAGAGCTGCGAGCCGAAGAGGATTCATGCTCCAGCTTGTATTAAAACGCTTCCGTTGTTTGTCTTTGTGCTGCTTTAGGACGATGTGAAGCACGTAAAAAATGAGAGTATTTCATCTTGTGAGTTACCGGCCCATGTTCAATATGCCCATCGTGTGGGGGGGCCTGTTAGCAGCCTGAGCTACAGCCTTCCTCTGCAGGTGCTGCAGCCCAGGTGAGAGGCCAGGCTTCAAGACACAAACATTCATATGAATTGAACACAAAGGGTGTTCGGATGAGTTCACAGGATGATGTTTTCCTCTTTCTCTCCCTCCAGGCCCCACTTCTCTCTGGATGTCAGGACTCGGTCTCCTGAAGGTCTGTTGTTCTTTGCTACAACCAGAGGAGGGCAATCTCATCTGGCCTTATACATGTCCAAGGGCAGGATTAGACTCTCTGTGGCCAAACAGAAGGAGATCTTCAACCGAGAGAAGTACAACGACGGAAAATGGCACTCGGTCTGTGGATATGTTTATCCCAGTCACATATTTGTAGACATAAACTAACAAAAACAGTCTAAATCACAAGCCTCCTTGCTCAGAATGCAGCCACATATTTCCTTTACGTGATCATTGGATTGTCTGCAGGTTGTTTTTAGCTTGGAAAAGAAGAAATTTCGTTTGGTGGTAGACGGGATCAAAGCTCAGGATGGTCAGCTGACAAGTGCTGAGTTGAAATCCATGCAGCAGTTCATTTCACCGGTGTACCTGGGCAGTGCTCCAGCATCCTTTCACAAAGAGTTAAAGGTAAGAAAGAAAAATGACTCAAAGAAATACTGTAGGTCTACCTTTTTAATCACTGGGGATTTTTTTTTTCAGCTTAAGGACCTTCCAAAGCAGAGCGTGTCCGGCTGCGTTCGGAAGTTTAAAATGAATGGAGCCCAGATGTCCAATCCAGCTGCGAACCATGGTGCCGGACCCTGCTTTGAGGGACAGACACAAAGAGGGGCATATTTCGCGGGAAACGGGGCACATGTCATTATCAGTGAGTCAATCACAGAACGAATGAGATAAAACTCCTCGTGATAATAAATAAAAATAAGATTAAATAACTAAGAAATATGCAAAAATCAAAATACAAATGGAGGTTTTCATGTTCCAAATAGTCCATCCATCCATCCATTATCTTTACCCGCTTATTCCATTCTGGGTCACAGGGGTCGCCAGTGCCCATGTCCTGCAATCACTGTGCGAGGGGCAGGGTACACCCTGGACGGGTCGCAAGTCCATCACAGGGCCACATAGAGACAAACAACCATTCACTCTCTCACTCACACCTAGGGACAATTTAGAGTTACCAATCAGCCTAACATGCATGTTTTTGGTCTGTGGGAGGAAACTGGAGTACCCGGAGAAAACCCACGCATGCACGGAGAGAACATGCAAACTCCACCCAGAAAGGCCCCTGGACCAGGGTTTGAACCAAGGACCCGCTCGCTGAGAGGCAGCAGCTCTACCAGTTGTGCCACCGTGCTGCCATTGTTCCAAATAGTACAAAAGTCAAATTTGGATCTTTCTGCTGGGCAATTTTTGAGTTCTCACTGGGTTAAAAATAGTTTAGTTGCAATCTTAACAAAATATTCCTGTTCCCCTCCCCACCCCCTGCCCCCTCTGTAAGTATAAGATTATCTAGGTTTAAAGTATGTTTTGGTAAAGTATTGGCCTTTATTGCTTTTATTTTTGGTATGTGTTTTAAAATGATTACCGTAATTTCTAAACTATTGAGTCCACCCGAATATAAGCCGTGCCCACTAATAAAAAATAAATAAATGTATATATATATATTTTAAATTGTACATATATAAGCCACACTTGTGTATAAGCCACAGGTGTCCACATAGTAACATGAGATACTTACACAGAAAGATTTTTTAAACTTTTAATTAAATGTGTACCGTAACAACACCAGGGGTTCCCAACCCTGGTCCTTGAGGAACACCATCCTGCATGTTTTAGTTGTTTCCTGCTAAGACACCCCTGATTTTAATAAATGGGTGACCAACAAGCTTCTGCAGAACGAGAAGAAGTAAATAAATCACTGAATTGGATATGTTGGAGCAGGGAAACAACTAAAACATGCAGGATGGCGTTCCTCAATGAACAGGGTTGGGAACCACTGATACAAATACGTACAGTAAATGTTTTTTTTCCTCAACAGTGCCTGTAACAAGGCGGGTTAAAATAAATAAATACAGGAGCCTACCAGGAAACGCCTAGCTTACGTGCAGCAGCTCTGTTTCCTTCTTTGACTGCCAGATCGATCACCTTTAACTTGAAAAACTGCATCATCTGCATTTTTTTGTGTGTTTTCCGTGATGAGGGTGTGTGCAAAAAGCGCAGAATAACTGATCTGAAAACTTAGTGTGAGAGCATTTGATTTAGGGTAATTCAAAGTTTCAATGATCCACTGTGACATGTTCGGTAATTTCATTAGTTAGATATCCTGATGCATGCTCATGCTGAGCTCATGCTCATTAGATGTTTTTTAAAAACTTTTATTTGTCCAGGTAGTCTCATTGAGTCACGAACCCCCCCCCACCCCAAGAGAGATGTGTATTAGGCAGCTATGTGAGCGCCCAGGTGGGACGAAGCTAAATGTTTTTGGTGGCAGGAAGATCGTTAGCCCGTCCAGAAAAAAATCCATAAATTTGTCGCAGCATTGTATAAACTGTGGTAAAAGCATGTAAAAAAAAGTAGCAGCTTATAGTCTGGAAATTACGGTATTTTTTTATATTGGTTCAGGTATAAGTTTTTCTTAAAGTGTACCAGTATTATCAATGTTGAGGCTTATTTTCTGTATTTCAGATGACTCTTTTGATGGGGGCTCCTACTTGGAGCTGCTGTTTAATATTCGTCCACGTGCTCAGTCTGGACTCCTACTTCATGTTGGTGATCCTATCAGAACCCCATCTAGATCTGGGATGGGCCACTTTCTCACTGTCTACATGCTCAGAGGAGAGGTGAGAATGGATTTCTGTTTGTTTTTGTCAAAACAGATAGCTGTTTGACTGTGGAGTGTTTGCTTGCAAGAAGAATATAGTACTTGTGTCGCGTAGCAGATGTGCTCCCCGTAACCAGTTTTGAAATAGTGCTTGATAATGTTGTCATTTGAAGGTGGCGGTTCAAGTGAACCAAGGAGGAGGAGAATTTATGGTGTCGGTGAAACCGAAAACTTCTCTGTGTGATGGAAACTTCCATAAAATTTCAGGTGAAACTCGATTTAATTTGCTTTTTTGATGTGTTAAACATCTTTGCCTAATGTGTAATGATGTGAGCGTACAAAGTACTGTAAATCACTAAAATATAAGAAGTTACATTCAGTATTTTTTTATTTGCCCCTTAATTCTGGCCCAAAATGCCATCATTTCTACAGAATTTATTCAGGATTCAGATCTGATTTTTTTTGGTGGTCAATTCAAGAATGAGATTTTTTTTTAGCTGCACTTTTATGAATAAAGCCACTATAATTCTGCCAGTGGAATGGAAACTGTTTGTGCCAGCCTGACCATGCAGCAGCTGTCAGCTGAGATGTTTTTGGCCACAAAATGTTATTGATCCAGACATGACCAGCAGAACAAACACCAGATCATAACCAAATGAGATACCATTAGATGAATCACTTCTTATCCTGAAGACCCCATCTCTCTGAAACAGATGATCAGACCAATCAGCCATTTCTCCAACATTCAGCCCTTTTGCTTTTTAGTCTCACACTGAAAAACATTTTCTTCAAACTACACACAAATGTATATCCAAACCTGTTTTTTTATTGCGTCACTTTGTCTAATAAACGATGAGATGATGTCAGCGTGTTACAATATTAATGCCATCTCCAATAACGATGACTGACTCAGTTTTTTTTTCAGAGATGATGATTCCCCTCTGTTCTTGCAGATTGTTTTTATGACCTGGGCTAATTTTAATCCACTTTCAATAGTTTCAGCAGTCTCTTTAGTTTGTTTATTTGATGCAAGCAAATACTTTGGTATTCTGAAATGGTGTAACGTGTTTGATTACAAAATGCACTTTTAGTGGTTGTTATTTAAAAATAAAAAGCAACTTTATCAGTTTGTGTTAAATGATGAGCTGAAATCTTTTTGGAAAAAGTATGCTTAGTTAAGTGTATTTTTCAAAGACAGTATATACTTTTTAATCTTATGCAATTTTTTTCATTTATGCAGATAGATTACAGGTACACCTCATTAAGTCACGAGGATTCATTTTCAAGAGACCTGATTAAGACAGACAAAATCATATACAACAATAAAAGCAATTAAGACACAATGCACTAAAAGTAATAAAATTAAAGTGCCATATAAAACAAGTTAAAATACTAAGAACAAGAGCAAAGCTGCTTAGGTTTTTCTAGTGACTTTATCAAATGTTTAAAATCCCTTAAAGAAATCAAAGTGGACCGCTTCAGATCTTGTTGCAAGGTGTTCCAGGTTACAGGAGCAGAGTTAGAAAATACCTTTTTGCCGAGTTCCACCACACTGAGGGGACGCTGCAGGTAATTAAGACCTGAGAGCGCACGCTGTAACTGCACTGACGATGTGACGTGAGGGAGGAGATGAGGGCAGCAGACCAAGGAGTGTTTTATAGATGAAGATGAACCAGTGAGATCCTACGTGCAGATAATGATGACCAACTGAGCAAGGAGTACAGAGTGCAGTGATGGGTACGGAAGTTACAACCTGTTATGAATCTTAGCGTGCTATGGTAGACAGCATCCAACATCTGCAAGGAGCTGGCAGGGGCATTCATGTAAATAATATCACCATAATCAATAGCTGGTAGGAAAGTTGCACCTAGAAGTCATTTGGCGTTCAGAGTTAAACATGATCTGATTCTGAAAAAGAACCCCAGTTTCATCCATCCATCCATTATCTTTACCCGTTTCTGCCTTTTTGGGTCGCAAGGGTCACTGATGCCCATTTCTACTACATAACAAGTAATTTTCTGTTTCATTTCTAGTAATCAAGAGGAAAAACGTTGTTCAATTATCTGTGGACACACTGGACAATTATAAGATTGGACCTCAATCTTCCTCTACCACTTTGACCAAAGATCCTTTGTTTGTGGGTGGCATTCCTGGTATGTATTAAAAGAAGTAGTGTTTTTAATTTGGTAAAGTCAAGCCAATCCACCTAGGATAATTAAATATGATAACAATATATTATGATGACACAAGAAATGTATAAGGATGCAAGCTAAATGTCTTTACAAATATAAAGATTATTTGTAGTCTTCATCTAAACTTAAACCTTTAGTTACAAGTACAGTTTCTACAGACATTTGTGTATTTAAGAAAAGTTTATCTCTAATTTATTTTACATATAAAAAGGCATTAAAGTTGAAATATACAGTATATAAAATTAAATAGGTTGGAGCACAGCAAGCACTCCACCAGCTGACCACCTGCACCTTTCTCCTGCAGATACGTTGATGCACCAGACACTCCCTATCCAGTCGTCCTTTATGGGATGTATCCAGGACATGAAGATCAACGACACACCCGTCTCCTTTGAGAGGTCGTCAGCTGTGTTCGGCCCGGTCAACCTCAAAGAGTGTCCGGGCTGAGCAGAAACATCTCATCGCATCATGATTCAACAAACCTTTGGGACCATGTCCTCCACCAGCTATGTGCAATCTGTTAAAAGACCGAGAATGTGTTTGTGTGTCAGAATGTGTGCATCGAGGAGTGTTTCAATGTGTGTGAATGTGTGTGAGAAATAATGAGACGTGAGCAGCAGCTTACAGGTTCATCATTTTTGCTGCTCTGGTAAAAATGTCTGTATTTATTTTGTAAAATAGTCATGTCTCGTGTCACTTATGGGAGCATGTTCTAGCAGTGGGGTTCATTGATTTATCAACTGCCAGAATCTACTGAATAAGTAAAGACTTATGGACAACCCAGCACTTTAAGAAAACTAATGATATCATGTTATGATGGTGCTGTAATAGTGATGAAGAAACTAGCTAATATCATTTCTTTATAGTTTTTATTTTTGTTGAACTCCAAAGTTTATATCAAAATAAATTGTTTACACCTACAGTGCTTCTTTCAGTGACATTTCACAGGTTGCTGAGGTAATATAATATATATCCACAAGTCAGCATGTAGAGTTCTATATTTTAACAGGTTTTCTTTTCCCATTTTCCCCCTTTTTGTTCTGAATTACCTTCCAATTTTGCATTCCTTTTGCATGACAAGAAAAAAAGTTCTTTGTAAATGATTTTAGCTACACAACTAAATAGCATGGATGTTACATCTTTCAGTGAAATAATTAGAATAAACTTATGCCCTTAGTATAAGTTCCACAGTTCTATTCAGTCATGTTTGGGACCATTGCAATGAAAATATAACACTGAACAAAATGTATCTGAAGTACTTAAATACAACTGCAAGTGTTTACCAACTTGTTTTGTACATTTGTATCAGAATTAATGAGTTTATATGTAAACTGTAAAATGCAAAATAATTGGACACATTTAGTCATGCATTCCTGTTTTATGATGACTGATTTGTAAAAAAAAAAAAAAAAAAAACTGTTCCATCAGTGTTCAAATATGTACGTTTTTGTGCCATAAAATGACCATTTTGACATGTTTTCAAGGTAACAACTTGCCCTTTTTACTTTTGATTGTTATATAATGGTCCAAAACAGTTATCATTTTTGTTGGTATGTTTTGAGCAGTTTGCATGGTTAAAAATGAATATTTATTCATACTCTACAAAGTGAGAAAACATTTGGATAATCTGGAAGGTTTAAAAATATAATGAAACATACCTGGCTTTATGCCTGTGAGAACATTCAGGCCACTGAATAAATTCAAGTATACAGCAGTAAGAGTAGCGTTTGTTAATTGTATCAGTGCTTTCAGGTTTGTTTCTGTGGTGAGATTTACATGCTGCTGCAATGGATTGGGTTTTACAATAGATAATATAAAGATTAAAAAGACAAATTCTGAGTGGAATAAATTTAAACAACTTTGTATTTCTCTATTGATATGATCAACCTTTATTTATACAGTTTAGTCTCATTGAGTCACGAGGACTCATTTACAAGAGAGACCAGTACCTGAGACCAAGTGACACCTCTTTGAGTGGAGAACAAAGATGATGAATACAAAAGAAAATTATATCACAAATAATAAAATATAAGTAAATTATCCAAATTGACCAGGCTGCCATCATTGGACAAAAACAAACTCCACTAGAAATAAGAAGAGTGCTTCACTTGTCTTAAATTATGTCCGACATAAGGGTGCACACATTTTATTTTCCGCTGCATTATTGAAATGTTAGAAAGTCAACAATGAACAGTTTTTTGAACGACTTCAACAAATGTTTAAAACATTAAACAGTGGCTTTACAACTTTCAGAGCTGCTTTGTGTTTATTTATTCATCATTTAATTAGTTTCATATCGAATGTCATGTCGTGTCCCTACACACTAATCGAAAATGTAATAATTCCGGGCAGCACTTGAAGGCAGCACACTTCCTCTCTGCGCAGGAGCGTTTGCGCATGAACACAACCCGCTGGTCAGACAGGCGGCTGAATACGGAACAGACAGCGGCCAGTCTCAGGTCATGTAGCCTTTTTTTAATCGCTTATGTGGTCCAGTTCAGTCATTAGACTCCTAATTAAAACTAATACCGACATGACAGCGTCCGTTCCGAGCTGCGCCACGGGCTGTAAGTAAACTGTTCAGGCATTGTCGCGCGCGTGGCCGCCCGTTCCTTTTCCCCAGCAGCGCTTGGCTCCTCGCGCCTCCGGCATCGGCCGTCCTAATCATGGCGGAGCCGGCAGGACCTGCTGCACCGGGGGTCAAGACGGACCTCATCAACGACGCGGAGCTGGCTCTGAAAGGAATCAACATGCTGCTCAACAATGGCTTCAAAGAGAGTGACGAGCTCTTCAGATCATACAGGTTGGTGTGGGTCCATGATGTTTACAGCCGTGATCAACCAGACGCAGTGCAGACAAAGAGCATCCTTGTCCCATTTGTCTACACCTTATCATATAGTCACAAGCAGGATCCGTCTCATTTAAACCCTCCGAGTGACTTGTGTGCATACATACTAGTTATTAAAATGATTGGTTAAGCTGCTGCGCTCGCTTTAACTGCATGGTTGTTTTCACAAGATAAGTGCCTGTTTGACAGGTTATCCTTCCTGAAATGCCTGCTGGCTCTCAGTCATTGTGCAAAAAGGTTTCAGTGAATTTGTTCACACGAGGTACGTCAGAGGGAAAGTCCTGGTAGGATCTACGTGTAAATATGGAGCTTTTAGTATCTGCTCAGTCGTGTGATTATGACATACTAAGAATAATAAAGCTAAAATAAATATCTGCATGTATTATTGGCTACAAAGCCAAGTGGACCCCCCTGATTCATGCTACATGTTGATACTTTAGAAGGGCAACCCCCATGTGTCCTGACCCCTGGTGAAAAGCAAAATGTCACCATTCCCATTAATTAATCTAAGCACTGAGAGTGATGCTGGGGGAGTGGTGGTGCAGAGGTTAAGCTGAGCCTGTGATCGGAAGGCCGCCAGCTCGACCCCTGGGACAGACTACATCAAAACGTGGGTGGGAAAGGTGAATGATCCTCATTTGCCCCACCCAGGGCCCTTGAGCAAGGCGGTCAACTCCCACCATCTATTCCCCCAGGTGTCAAAGCTAAAAGCCCTATTTCAAAAGAATAGTGAATTTATGTGTTCATCTGTTCCCATTAACACAAAAATGCTTGATGTACACGTGAAACCCCCATTTTTGTAGTCTTTTCACAAAGCTGTGCAACTTTTTTTATTATGTTTCAGGAACTACAGTCCTTTGATGAGTTTCGGGGCCAGCTTTGTGAGTTTTCTGGTGAGTAGGGGAGCAACATATTACACAGTTTTAGTTTGTGGTCTAAATGCTGAGAAGGTTTCTTTACTTTCTCCAGGGTTAAATCCTGTGATAAATCCACAATTTTCTCACTTTCTTTTCTGTCTTCTCTATCATCTAATAAAGTGTGGGCGTCAAGGCCAGGGAGCTGACCATAAATATTATTTAACTTGAACTTGAATACACAAAAAATAATCGTCTTTGATTTATAGCACTCCGAGCAGTCATTTGCATTATTGATTTTGCATTCACTGATATTGAGATGATAAATGTGTTAATGAGTGTGCACCCATATGTTACCATTTTGGTACTAAACCAAACTTGTAGCTTATTATTAACTTTATATATATATATTAATTTACTTTGGCAAATACTATGTTTTAATCCAGTATTGCAAGATAAATGTATTACTATCTCACTTTAAAGTTACTTCAGTTGCAACTTTTTCCCAAACCACTTATAATCATGCAGTTTAATGCAAAAACAGGAAGCAAATTGGAAGTGAAAGAGTTTATTCAGATGTGCATTGCAACTCATAAAAGCGGAATTGAGAGCTCATTTGAAAAAGATGTATTTGGTATAATTTTTAAGAAAAACAATCCTAAACTATTCACTAGTTACCTACAGTATTATAATAACACTTGGGCAGTAAGAACCCAGTTCATTCAGATCCTTAAATTTACATATTCAGGATTTTGTTACAAAATGTTTTTAAAGAATTAAAATGTCAAAATATTTGAAACTTGAAATATGACTGTTGAAAGGTTGCCTTCCTTTTAGTTCTTGTAAATGATCAACTTTCTTTTTATATTTCTAAATATTTCAAAAAGAAAACGTATGTATGCTGTAGTGAAAGTAACAAAGGGATCTTTCACTTATCAATTCAACTCTACAGGTAAAAAAACGTCCTTACAATGTTTAATTTTATTTTTGTTTTTATCCAAAATAGCAATTAAAATGTTTCTTGAATTGTAATTTGGGGTAAATAGTATTATCATAACTTGATACTCCTAGAGATTTTAAGAAAATAAAGTACTTTGAATGAAGACAAACTGAAGAAACTGAGTTTAACAATTCTTATTTCTAATGTTGTATCACTGAAATGTTAAATTATAAAATTGTTAATCTGCCATACAAGTCAAAGTACATTTAGCTAAATCTACAGTGGATCATCAAAAAGATACATTTTAATTTTTTAGGGTCCCAAGTCTAAATGCCTACATTTAAAAATCTAAACATTTTAAAGATTGTTGTGAGCCAAAGACGTCCTCCAGAATTTATTTATTGTTTTTCTTCCTTTTAAAACATCTGAACACCATCATTCAGTTGGCTAAAGTTTTACTTTATTTATTTGGTAGAATGCAGTGATGACATTCGAAGAGGAGAAAATGCAGATGGCCTTTGAGGACCTGAAAGCTACAGAGAAGCTGTGTGAAAGTGAAAACAGTGGAGTCATTGAAACCATCAAGAACAGGATGAAACGGGGCGTGAGTGACCTCCTTATATTTTCATTTAATGGCTTTTCTTATATGTGATAAATGTTAATTTCTTCCATCAATTATCTTTATCTGCTTCTTCCTTTTCGGGTCATGGGGGTCACTGGTGCCCATGTCCAGCTATCACTGTGCCAGAAGCGGGGCACACCCAGGACGGGTCACAAGTCTTTCAGAATAAATGTTAATTAAAAAACTTTAATTGGACAATAATTCACGCTGCAGTGGTGTTTTCTTGTTGATTTCCCTGCATGTCTCCAGCTTGTGTTTATGCTTGTTTCAGCATGTGGACTCTCAGAGGTCGGGGGCGGCTGCAGTGGGCCGACTCCAGAGGCAGATCATCATTGCAGACTGCCATGTTTACCTTTCTGTTCTGTTGTTTATCAAGCAAGAGCTGTCAGGTATTTGAGCCTTTGTGAAGACTGCAGTCATATTCAGTCATGTTTGTCCTTTTTAATGGTGGTGGCAAAAGATGGCACGTTTCTCTTTCTGTCCACAGCGTATATCAAAGGAGGCTGGATCCTCCGCAAAGCCTGGAAGATGTTCAACAAATGTTACAATGACATCACACATTTACAAGAGCGTGGCAGAAAGAGGGCTTCCGTGTCTTCCGCCTCTGACCCGCCCGTCTGCAGTCGCTCTTCTTCACTTGGGTCAAGTTCATCTCAAAAACTGGACGGCATCAGCCTCGAGACTCTGGATCGGCTGAAAGGAGCGGTCAGCTTCGGTTACGGTCTGTTCCACCTGTGCATCTCCATGGTGCCGCCTCACCTGCTGAAGATCGTCAACCTGCTGGGCTTCCCGGGAGACCGACATCAAGGCCTGTCGGCGCTCACGTACGCCAGCGAAAGTAAGGACATGAAGGCCCCATTAGCTACGTGAGTATGTGAGTGACTCTAGATCCTGCTTGTAACAGACGTCTGAAATGTTTACTTTTGTTCTTACTCTAGAAGCAATCAAAGCATGGACTGCAACATCTTTTTTTTATTGTCCCTTCCTGTTATTAAATCATTTTTATCTAGAGAAATTGCATTTCCTGCAAAAATGTAGTGTGAATGCTTATGGCTGAGGAACTTGCTGAAAAAACTGCTGAAATTAGCTAAAAACATGCTGAAATTTAGCTGAAATGGAAGATCAAGCCTAAATTAGAAGAAAGCAGAAAGAACACATTTGTTTAATTAGGATTAAATAAGCCGAAATGAGCACAAAAATTAGGAAATTAGATTAAAAAAAAAAGGCTGAATTTAGCACAAAAAAAAGCTGAAAAGGAAGAAAGACCCTTAAACTACCAAAAGGAAATAAAAATAACTGAAATGAGCACAAAAAAAATGTGGAATTGGCTGAAAAGGCTAAATTTAGCACAAAAACAGATAAATGGTAGTTGAAATATCAAAAAAGCTGAAAGTAGCTGAAAAAAGCTGAAAAGTGCATAACAAGCTGTAATTAGCAGAAAGAAGCAAATTAGGCTGAAAGTAGCATAAATTACCACAAAAACATTGAATTTATCTGAAAACAATTGAAATTAGCTAAAAAAAAAAAAAAACGTACTGCTAACTGAAAAGGTAAAAAAAACAAGCTTAAATTAGCAGAAGAAAGCAGAAAGAGCATGTTTGCAGAAAGAAGCAGAAACAAGCACAAAAAAGTAGAAATTATCAGGAAAAAAGAAGAAGCTGAAATTAACACACAAAAAAAAGCCAGCTGAAAAGTAGCTAAAAAAGCAGAAAGAAGCTAAAATTACTAGAAGAGAGCACAATTTTGCTGAATTAGGCTGAAAACAATTGAAATGAGTGCAAAAAATGTGGAATTAGCTGATAAAGCCTAAATTGCCATAAAACAGCTAAATAGTAGCTGAAATAGTAGAAAAAGCTGAACATAGCAGAAATAAGCTGAAAGGAGGATAACAAGCTGAAATTAGCAGAAAAAATTTAGAAGAAGCATAAAAATGTTGTAGTTAGCAGAAAGATCCTGAAAGGAGCACAGAATGGTGGTGGTGGTGGTGGGGGGGGGGACCCCAGCTGAAATTAGCTGAAAGTAGCTGAAAAAATGTTTAAATTTGTATGAGGAAGCTGAAAGGAGCTGAACCAGAACAAAATGTGAAAGGAGCAGTAAACAGTTGTAAACAGATCTAAAGATCTGAAGGATGTAAAATGAGCTCAATTCATTTTCTATGAGGAAAAAAATGGCAGAAAAGTCTAAAAATTTTAAAAAGCTAAAGTTGCACCAATACTTAGGATTGTCCTGAAAGAACGTTTCGATATATAATTAGTTGAAATAGCTTGAAAATTGCGGGACAAGAATTGCGTCAAAAAATGTACAGAAGAAAAATGGATCATAATAGTGTGAATGCTTCATAAACATTCACACTATTGTTTCCCACAAGACCTCCTTGAAAAAAAAAACATTGACATTAAAACTCAACTAAGACATATATTTTTAAATTTGTAGTCGAATGAATAAGAAAACTGAATCCTTTCTGCTGGTCTTACAGCCTGGCCCTGTTGTGGTACTACACAGTGGTGCAGCCGTTCTTCGCTCTGGATGGCTCAGACACACACACGAGCCTAATAGAAGCCAAATCTATCCTGAAACAAAGAGAGGCCATCTATCCCAACTCCTCCCTCTTCGTGTTCTTCAAAGGCAGAGTTCAACGCCTTGAGGTACAGACAGAATAAAGTGCATTTTCAGTTGCTTCTTGGCTCATTTCAACTGCCACCACAAACTTCCTCCTTTTGTTGTAGTGCCAGATCAGCAGTGCCTTGACGTCCTTCCGTGATGCCTTAGATCTGGCCTCTGGCCAGAGGGAGATTCAGCACGTGTGTTTATATGAAATAGGTGCCAGTTTCTCTTTATTTCAAACCACGTCCCTCAAAACTAGCTTGTGCCATAATTTCTGATCGGTGGATGTTTTTAGGCTGGTGCAGCATGATCGAGCTGAACTACGGTGAAGCCTACAGAGCGTTTGAGCGACTGAAGGCTGAATCCCGCTGGTCCCAGTGCTACTACGCCTATTTAACAGGAGGTACTGGATTACAGAAGAATTAGGCTTTCCGGCTCATTTGGCGAGCTCTGTGTCGGCTTGTAACTTGTGGTATTTTTGTTGTAGCTTGCCAAGGCGCCACTGGTGATCTGGAGGGAGCCCTTTTAGCTTTCAAAGATGTTCAAAAGCTTTTCAAGCGAAAGAATAATCAGATAGAGGTGTTTTCAATGAAGAGGGTGAGTAACAAATCCAGCTAATTTAGTCTATTATATGATGTCAGCTGCAGTCAAACAATCAATGACATTTTTGTCCTCAGTCTGAGCAGCTCCGCAGCCCCAGTGTAACCAAAGAGCTCTGCATTTTGTCTGTGATTGAGATTCTGTATCTGTGGAAAGCCCTGCCTAACTGCTCCACTGCCAAGCTGCAGGCCATGACACACGGTAAAATACTGGACCTCCGTAAAAGCCAACTGTGCAGTTTGGTTTCTTGTTAGACCAACCATCGGTTGTATTTTAGTCTTACAGGGGATAGAGGACACCTCGTGTGCTGGCCTGAAAAATCTGCTTCTTGGTGCCATAAGCAAATGTCTCCACAATACCAAAGATGCCATGCAGGTACGCGAGTAGACTAATAGTCATATGTTGGTAATACAGTGTTTGTGTGTTGCACAGCGTGCTACATCCCATGTAATAGCTGTGCTGACATTTGTAGCTAATCCATTCACTCAGTCACTGCAAGTGAATGTTGATTATCCATACCAGATTTCCTTGTTTCTGTTTTTCGTATGCAGTGATTGAATTGAACCTTTATTTATTTATGTATACGTATATATATATATATATATATATATATATTTTTTTTTTTTTGTCACAGTTTTTCCATCTGGCTGCAAAAGATGAGGTGGGTCGTCAGTGCAATTCTTATGTGCAGCCCTACTCCTGCTATGAACTGGCCTGTGTCCTGCTAAGTGCCCCTGAGGTAGATTTTCTCTTTGTGTGTGGGGTTTTTTTTTGGGGTGGGGGGGTGGGGTGGGGGTGGGGGGGGCAGTATCCTACTGAAGTTAGTTGAAAAGTCACACAATCTGAACATTCTGTCTTTTTCTTTCCAGACTGTAGAAAGGGGCAAAATGCTGATGCTTCAGGCTAAGGTACGGTAAGCCTCGGGTACTCCCCACCATGCATTTTTATTCCTTAAAACTTGTTAAACTTGCTCTAATAATTCTTACCTTCTGTAGTTTTCTAACAGCCTCATTTTTTTCTCCTTGTTGCAATGCAGCTTGAAGGTTTTTGTAATCAAAATGTTGCCTTTTCCAGTTGGGAGCAAATTAGTAGAATTCAGCTTGTGCGATTATTGTTTTAATGAAGGGCATATTAGAATGAGCTCATTATTCTAAAGGAGGCGAGATAAAAAGATTTGCTCTTTGATCAGGTAACCTGTTGGAGGAGGAAGACTGTTGCTCAACTCCTCGGTCAGTGAGCAGGTTTTAGTGGCTCGGCTTTACACTGGAGTGTGGCGTCACATTAGTCGTAGCCGTATAATGGAGCCTTAACAACCAAAAATACTTCTAATAAAGGAATTAGTTTAGAACGTACTTGCATGTCCAGCTGTATAGGAACAGCACAGAACGGCAGCGATGATCAATTCTGGAATTCATGTTCCTCTCTGAAATGTGGACAGCTTTGTTGAAGCTTTGCCAGGTTTCTGTCCCCACACTGGTGGCCAGATATGATGCTTGGGCTGAGAAAATCAGGAATGAGCTCGACCTTTTTAATCAAATTAGTGCCGTATTAGTTTAGCTAACATGCTTTTCTGTCCTGTGGATGAAGTCAAGCCTAGTGAAGCAGGCTGCATTCCAGTACGTGGAGAATCTAGGTCAGGGCTGCCCAATAACGTTGATCGCGACCTAACAGTCAATCTCAAAGGCATTATGGGTAGATCGCATGGCATAACAAAAATAAAAATAAAATAGATGTCAGCCTATCATCCGTCCTCACTATGAAATTTGTTACTTGATCAGAGTTGCCAGATACATTTAAAATGTCTCATTTACCCCTCCTTTTCTGTGCACATGTTCAACAAACACAACACACACCTCATCTTAATAGAATATCATATATTATATAATATATTAATATATCTGTGATGGACTTGCGACCTGTCCAGGGTGCACCCCGCCCCTCACACAGTGATTGCTGGACATGGGGACCAGCGACCCCCATGACGGAAGAAGTGGGTAAAAGATAATGAATGGATATTAATATATTATATTATTATATATTATTATTAATTAGAATATCTTTACTCGGCACATATGACATTTTAGGTCAAAATACTATCAGTACTATAGTTTAGGGGTTGAATCGACTAGTCGAGTCTAGGACATCTCACAAGTTTTTAAATTTCACATCAACTAGTCACAGTAACATGAGTGTATCACTGCCCCCGTTTTTTATTTTAATTTTATTTAATCCACTAAATAAAAACAGGGGTTGCACCACCAACACTGCCGGTGGTGGTGCAACCCCTGTTTTTATTAAATTTAATCCACCAAATAAAATAAGAATACACCACCACCACTGCCGCAATGATTTATTAAGTGGATTAAATAAAATAAAACTTAACTTTTGCAGCTTGTTAATAGTTTTGGTTTTCCTGTTACTTATTTACAGTATGATAAATGGTAGCATAAATATACGTGCCTGATTTTTTTTTTGTAAATGACATTTTTTTGTGTGAATATGGTATAGCGTCTTTAGTTCCTATAATGTCACAGCAACTAGTAGACGTCGACTTAACTTTTATCTTGTTGAAGTCGGCTTTAAAAAATACGTAGTCTTTCAACCCCTGCTATAGTTCATACTTTATCTGGCCACCTGATTGACATGGAAACTATAGCATTTTCATGTAAACCCGCTCATTTTTTGTTTATTACCCCCAATAAACATTGAAAAAACACGAACGTTTCCAGAGGTTGCTCTCATGTAAACGGGGCCTTATAGCAGGTAGATCACTTTGACTTGGTCATTTTAAAAGTAGCTCGCATGCTGAAAGTGTGGGCACCACTGATCTAGGTGCAGCTCCTCTGCATGAACAGTACCAGAGCTCCACTGCAGCAGCATTGACTCTTGTATTGGCAGCTGACGTTTACAGACAAATCTCTGCAGCTGCAGAATAACTTATTTCTAACAAGTGCACATGAGGGGCCAGGTTGTGCTGCTATTTTTAATGAGCGTGCCGTTACCTGATTGGACAGAGTGCATTGATTCGCCTGTGCTGACGGCAGAGCTGGAACAGAGTAATATTCCTTTTTTCTATCCGTTTTCCCATCTTTTTTTTGTGTAGGAGGATTACGCTGGCTATGACTTTGAGAACAGACTCCATGTTCGAATTCACTCGGCTTTCACCTGAATGACCGGAGCAGCTTGACGTTGCTGCAGAAGAAACCTCAATCAGAAAGCAACTCCAAACCTTAATGTTTCACCACATCTGTGTTTTGAGGAAAACCATCACTTGGACATTAACAAATGTTTCACGAAGAAACGTTGAAGGCTTTATTTCTAAACTGCACAAAATGTTAGCACAGATTTTACCGACTGGCTTGTTTTAAAAGTAGATGCTGACCAGGTGAAATGAAAATCTTCTTGAAAGTCATCTCTCAACTGTAAACGTAAAATTTGTCTTTTCATTTAGCAGACAGTTAATCAAAGTGATGGCACTTTATTTAATAAATCAATTCTGAATGTGTGTGAAGCCCAGTAGAAATCAATATTGGTTGCTCAGCATTTGTGCTGTATGGGAAAATGTTTTTAACTGTGTTTTGGTGTAAATATACAGAAAAGACAAGTTTTATTAAAATGTGCCAAAATTGCTCCACTTTCAAGTGGCCTTAATGCACAATAAAACCGTTCTCTGTAAACTAGTTTTACTTTACATTTGTTACAAGTTGAATAAAAACATTGTAAAATTACATATTTAGTTTTTTTTAATGCAGAAGCAGTGACTCTGTTCATGTGCGGCCTCCGTTCTAATATTCATCGACGTGTTCGAAAGAAATGAAAAGGAATAAATTTCAAGTCTTCAACTTTCACTTGCTGTTAATGAAAGCTTTCAAAAACCAAGAGGACGTGATGCAAGAGAAGTGAAATCTTTGGGACTGAGAGAGACTCGTTTTCAAAGTATAATTCAAGAAGCAAATCAAAAATCAGGTTTGTTTAAAGTCTGGAGAACTATAGAGCGAGATTAACATTGATGTACATCCAATAAGACTGGAGAAGAAAGGTCCAAAGTCTCCAGCATCATTAAATAAGAGCGATGGAAATGTGGTTCGGATGACCTTGATTGAAGAGAGAGGTTGAATCTGAAACAGCGTAGAGCAGTTTGTACTCGGTTTCATTCAAAAAATTTCCCTTAAAAAATAAAGTTTTCAGTTGGTGAAGCCAAAACAGAAAGCACAGATGAGCAGCCACTGAACTCCAGTTTACATCAGGACAAAAAACAGTGAAGGATTTAAACAAATAAAGCTTAAAACGATCCACAACATATAATACAAACTTGCTGCTACCACAAAACCTACAAATCATAAATTAGGACGTGGTTCTTCCTAAAATGTTGATATATAAAATACTTTGAATTACTGCAGAAGCCAAGCAGTGACATTTAGACTGCTGTCAGGTATGTGTAAGGACTTGGGTAGTTTCTCCTTTCATAAAGATTAGAATCTAAAAATTGTAAAAAAGAAACAACGTGCTTTCTTTGGCTTTTAAAAGGGCTCTACAATCTTGATATTCAACACCTCAGAAGATTCTCCATGTCCTGGTCAATTGAAATTAGACTTTCTGAAAGCCTTCAGCACGCTTGATTTTTGATCTTTGTGCACACTGTAGTCAGCTGATGCTAATTCAGCTAAAAAGGCTAAACAAATTTTAATCAACAAGTACACTTAAGTGGCATGAACCATTTAAAATCCCTAGAATACACAGTTTACTGAAAACAAGAATGAACTTCATCATTGAGCTTTTATTTAGTAACAATAGAAATTCTGTTTATTCTAAAATGAATGACAAGAGAAGCTAAAATGTTATGCTTACATGTAGCAGCTATCAGTAAGAGAAAAAGTTCAGTTTATCTGACTGAGGTAAGGCTTGCATAGTTTTTATGCACATGCATTTATGATAATGCACAGAGCACTAAAAATAACATCAGTTATACTTATCTATTGCAAGACCTTCCCCTTTTCCACACGCACGCACACTTAAGAGCCATTTGCTCGGCTTACATCAAGGAGAAAGTGCTACAGGCTCAGGCAGGCCATGATGTTTATATGAATACAGCTTATAGTTGAGGTGTTTTTCATTCTCTTAACAGATTAATATTTTACAAGCAGACACATTAGTTGGGATATAGCTGAACACATTTTACAATCAAATATAGCAATCTAAAAACTGCAACAGGTCAAAACTTTTAAACACATTCAGTTAAAGACTAGATATGTGCACCACTCACTAGTTAAAGTGAGGTTGCTGGTTAAACACTCCTAACATGAAATATTTCTGAACTACATTCTACTTGTTCATCTACATGCTAATACTTTGCTTGAAGTGGTTAAGAACCACAATAAATAAGAGTTTTTGTGCTTTAATGTTCACACATATCTACATTTTCCTTCCAAATAGAAACTACAGAGGAGGATTAGGACCACAATGCAAATATTTTTTTCCCCTTAATTATGAGGGAAAAAGTCAGAATTCGGAGAAAAAAGTCATAATTTTGAGAAAAAAGTCATAATTTTGAGAAGAAAAAAAAAATCAGAATTTTGAGAAATAAAACCAGACTTTCGAGAAAAGTTAGAATTCTGATAAATAAAACAGAATTCTGAGAAATAAAAACCAGAATTCTGAGAAACACAAACCAGAATTCTGAGATTAAAGTCAGAATTTTGAGAAAAAAAAAACAGAATTTTGAGAAATAAAACCAGAATTTTGAGAAAAGTCAGAATTCTGATAAATTAAAACCAGAATTTTGAGAAAAAGGTCAGAACTCTGACTCTGAGAACTCTTCATTCTGAGGAAAAAAAAGTCAGAATTAGATGGATTCTGACTTTAAACTCAGAAGTCTTACTTTAATCTTAGAATAGTTGGAGGGGGGGGGGGGGGGGGAATTGCACTGTGGCCCTAATCTTCTTCCGTATAACCTGACATTACCATTTTACATAGAGTCCATTATTTTGTTGCAAACCATGTATGATCACCAGTGCAGAAGATTATGTTTAAAGGTGTTAAACATAGGAATCCATGTGTAGATCTGTGCAAGCTATTTTCTTCAGGTTTTTAGTAAATATCAGGCAGCTGAGTATAATCCCTGTCCCAATAGCCTTTCACGTAGAGCCAGTCCTGAGCTTTGTTGTGTGGGTTGGGTCCTTGTTGAAACCACCTACAAAAAATAAATAAATAAATAAAGCAAAATCATAAAAACAGAAAAGCACAGACACCAGTGATTTAAATTAAACACTGTGATAACCAAGTAACCAAGATAAAACATTCACAAACTCTCACACGCAGAAAAAGGTAACGAGATAGCTGGAAAATGTAGTTGCTCTTCCTTTTGAAACCAAATGTCCAGAAAGAACACGCAGTTGTGCATTTTGTCCTGAGGATGGTGGTGTAGTGCAGCACTTCACACCAGAGCAAACCACAACCACAGCATACATGTCAAATCCTACAGATTATCAATATTACTGGATTATTTAATAAATTATACTAACGTTTCCCCATTTTTCATGACTACAGATGTTCAAAGAAAGTCTAATGGATTTTCAAAAGACTCTGCTTCAAATTTAGTTTTAGTCTCAGATCCGGCCTGTAAAAAAATGCAAAGATTCCTCCCTCGTCCTCGTCCTCTCAGAGTGTGCCTGCTCCGCCGCCCCTCTGTTGTATCGTGTGAGAATTAGAGCATTTTTGTAAATTTTACAGATTTCTGAAGCTCACTATACAGGTAAACATCCAAAGGGGTTGACATGTATGCTGGAGATTAAATCAAAGCTTTGAACCAAACCTTGGGCCAAGTGCAGAACTCCTTCACAGTAAATGGAAATTGAAATGCATGGTTGATAACAAGGAGACAGCAAGTTCAACCAGAACTACTACCAGAAAATGAGCAACCGCGTACAGCAACTTTCAGTAACTAACCTTATTTTCCATTCCTCTGTTGATTTAGAGCGGTTCTTACGGGCTGTCCGCTGTTTCTCCTCGAGTCTCTTCTTCTCTGTGCTTGCCTGATCTACAACACAAATTTAAAAAATCTCAGCACAGTCGGAGATGAAGTAAAGCGGTTGTAGCATGACAGAAAGTCAGGTCAGGAGCAAACACCATACCGATATCTCCATTCTCCATGGCCCGGATGTCAGGTCTGAGGCGGCTGTCTGTGGGAGGAAGAACTCCCTCCATGTTCTTGCTCAGCTCATTTAATTGCAAAGTGAAGGTAGAGAACGCATAGAACTGCAACACAGAAAAACCACTTCAGCACAAACCGCTCAACACCGCCCTCCCATGAAGGTTCTCCTCGTGCCGTTACGAACCTTCGATGAGTTTTCTGGTCGAGGCGTGATCTTCCAGATGAGCTCACTTCCAGGGATGACTTGGACCGTCTCGGCGTCAGGTGGAGGAATCTCTTCGGACTCGTTAACGCTGCTCTGAGGCTACAAAAACAGACCCACAATTTTGTCAACAGCAAAATACAAGCAGCAAAACTATTTCTAGACTAAATGAAACGGTTCAGTGCACGGCGATAAAAAAAAAAAGAGTAAAACAATACACAGGCTGAATCAACTGGGCGCATCACTTTAAAACGTTAGTTTGCTTAATAAGTTTGATCTTGACACCTTGCATTAAGAGCATCCATAGCAACAAGGTTGTCATGGTGCAACTGGAAAGGTCTCTGGTCTGTGGCTCACCCAGCTCTTCATTAGCAGCAGAAAGAAAAAAGCTGCAGACTGGATGCTCAGAAATCACCTTAGAACTGAAAGCACTTTGATCATACTTTGATAAAAGCAGACAAAAGCAGGTGTTTTAATTGAGGTAAGAGAAATGTGAAACGTTTTCACGGATGGAAAGTAGTTTCCTTGTTAGGGATGGAAGATGCCACAATGTCTACAATGTTAAAAAAAAGTAAAAGAATTGCTGGGGTTCCTGTTGCAATTAGAGCTGAGGCTTTGGTGTCCTCGTTGACGAGATGGATTTATTATTTTGTATATTATGAATCTGTACCAAAGTAGTACTGTGTGTACATCTCAAATTATTCTGCAGAACGACGAACTCCTAAACATACGGCACAAATTCCAGAAACAAAAAGCATCTCATCACCCTCAGTGCCCTGATCTTACTATTAAGAGGTAGTAAACTGTTTGTGTTGATGTTTGACGTAATGTTTTTATGCTACTAGTGCTTGGTGTATATTTAGTTCATGCTTTTCTTAGTTCATATCTTAGATGTTATCACGGTTTTTCCTTTACATTTTATTGTTGGATGTAACTGGGACCCTGTGTACATAATTTCGCTCCACCACATGTACCACATGAAGTGCGAATGACAATAAAGAATCTCTGACTCTGACTCTAAACCTGAGATTAAAGAAAGAGATTAAATCCAGAAAGGAGTTATGACAATTTCTGCAACATGTCTGGAACAATCTATCTGAATCCATTTTAATGTTTTACACGTGGCTAAACCATCTGAACCAAACAGACAAAAATAAAAAAAACTCACCTCCTTGTTGCTTTTTTTGTCCTCTGCATTCTTTTTATCCATTTTTTTGTGGGAATCATAAGTAACGGGATCAACTGCATATAAACATTCGGTCCATTTGCCATAGATTGCACAGAGCTTCTTTTTGCTGCAACATGTAAAAAAAAATTAATAGATTTTATGAATCCCAGCTTTAGGAGACATCTCTTAATTAAAATAATCTCAAAGCAAACCGCATCACGTCTTTTTAAAAACGACAAAGCGATGACAAACGACAAATCGTCGATACCTTTTATCCTGGATGTATCCCTCAACTTTATGGAGCTCTTTTCCAAAAAGGCCGCAGGGCTTGAACGTCATGCTGCATCTCTCTCCAGTCCTGAAACACAGTGACAGCCCGTTTAACTCTTCCACTCGTCTCTCTCTGCAGATTTTCAAACAGTCGTCATCCCGCTCACTCTCCTCTGCTCTAATGGCAGCTGCCCCAGTTTCTGCTTCCAAGATCAATAAACACGATCCAAAAGTAGATTACAAATATCCTGCAGAGCGTCTGCGCATGTAGATAAACCAGGAAAGCACATTTGCGCACACAAAACAAGGAAAACAACCCCAAAAAATAGAAAATAAAATAAACATTTTACTTTTGATTGATCACTTCCACGTTTCCGTACTGCTCGATCCAAAGCTGGCCGACAATGATGTTGTGGACACAGCAGGTGGGGTTTGTCCAGGTGTATGCTTCATTATATCTGCAAAAGGTTAAGAATCAGCAAGTGAAACGCATCAGAAACTCAAGTTCAATTCAAAGGAATCTACTGACTTGGGCAGCTCCAGTGTGATGGTTCCTTTAGGCTCAGCTTCAATGCTCTTTCCCCAGAACTTCAGTTTGGGATATATGGAACCATGAAAGACAAAATCCTCTTCGAGACCCTCAGCGTGAAAGGCACTGATTGGAGGATGGTGACTCACTTGCTCCGACACCCACCTGAAGCCCAAATCCTCTCTGGTGTAAACAGAAATGATCAGCAAAGTAAGTCCACTAACAAAGTGCTAACAACACGTTAGCGTATCAGCTCATACCTGATCAGCTCGTACGTCTCCCCCAGCAGTGGGTTGAAGGGCTTCCCCGTCCTCTCCCATTGCGATGCTACAGCTGACACAGCAAAAGCTGCAACACACTACAGAGCACGGCTTAATCATAACCTAATTATAGATTACACTGACGGGATTAACCAGATTTATTTAAAAAAGCTGCAAATTAAAGCGAATGAGCAGAATATTTGGGCTTGATTCGAATAAATAACGTATGGCAGGTACCTTCATCCTCTCCACCGAGTCTGTTGCAGCGTTTGCCTGGTGGATGAGGTAGTTGTGCTCCATGTACTCCGTCAGTCGCTGCAGGAAGCTCAGAGGCTCGTTAAATACCACCGGCATGGCAATCTTTGACAACTCCTGCATGGGAGAAGATTTGGGAACACATGACGATGGGGTACGCATTTACGTTGAGATACAAGTTAGAAACAAAACGTCACATTCTGTTTGTTGCAACTATTATCTGAAGCCTGTGATGTGATATTTTGCCTGACAAGCACATTTAAAGTGGGTAAAAACGGGGAAAAAATAAAAATCAGAAGATCAGAGTGATCAGAGGTAGAAGCAAATGAGACATTTACTTGTTAGGGATGCACAGATCGTGCACCGTTCAGTGTTTATAAAAACATCTTGAGAGAAAAGTGCATGTGTTGAAGAGAAAGAGCCAAATTAACAGAATAAGTTGCTTGTTTAAAAGCTCCACGTCTGAACAGGGGCAAACGCACGCAGCTGACGCTGTAACAAATGTAAAGGTTACCCAATAAGTGATGCACAAGGTGGCATTAGGAAAAAGACTGATTATGTAGCGTAACAATTGGCCGTAGCTTCGACAGACTGCCATTTGAAGCAGAGCCACTTTCCTTAGTTGTCAGATGATTGAAACACTGGCTCCTCACGCTCTTTGAAATCATCCTTCACTGTGGTGGAAAAAATGGTTTTCATGACAGGAGAAAAGGGATGAGGTTTTTTTTTTCTAGTTAGAAAAAAAAATGGAGGTGATGAAGTCTGATGTTGCCAAATCTGTAAAATTGAGTGCAACTGTACGGTCTTTTCAAGATCAGGACTAAAGAAGTCTGAAAGGTCATTGTCAAATTCACAGTAAGACAATAAACAGCAAAACTGGCCAATTTCAATCAGTAATTATGATCTATGTGTACATTAAAAAAATAAATTAACAGCTGATAGAAGACCAAATTATAGAATTAAAGGAAAAACAAACATTAAAGTTAATAAAGAATATCAGACTAGCCCAATTAATTTTATTTCACAATGATTAAATTAAATGGCATTGTAACATTAATATTTCAACATTGTGTACGTTGATTCTGTAAAACGAATGCTGAAATCTACAGTGGATTCAGTTTAGGTTTTTTTTTTTTTTGAGTTGGTAAAAGAAGCTTCATAACATTTTATGAAAGCCGGTGTAAGAAGATTATTGGCTAAGGATTACTTAAAGCCTCTGTGCTAATATTTACTACAAAGCCATGTACGATGACAGTGACACCAAGTTGCAGAAACAGGTGGAACAGTTTGACCTAGATCAAGAAAATAAAAAATACCTACTAGATAGATCTAAATTCATTTTATTAAATTGAATTCCTCAACGTAAACCTGCTCAATATTCAACAGCTCCTTTCCAACAAACTTAAATGTTTAATAGAGTATCTGATCAGTTTAGACGGCAAGTTAAAACGGAGGTAATCTGATTAAAGCTGGTCTGTTCTCACCATGCCAATGCATTTCTTCAAGATGCTCCAGATGCTCACATCATTCCTGGAGAACATGGGAGCTGGAAGAGATGTTCTGTAGGAAAAATTACAAAGATGACGACATCCTATATTGTGAAGATAAAATTAAAATAACACATCAACTATACATAGAAATACAGTAATTTCCAGACTATAAGCCTCTACTTTTTTCACAGGCTTGGAACCCTGCGGCTTACTCAAAGCTGTGGATAATTTGTGGATTTTTCTATTTTATTTCTTTTTTTTTTTTTTTACAAGTTAATGAGCTTCCTGCCACCATAAACATTTAGCTTCGTCACACCCTGGCGCTCACATAGCTGCCCAATACACATCTCTCCTGGGGAGTGGGTCCACATGACTCAATGAGACTACCTGTATAAATGAAAAAGGTAAAAAAAATAACCTGACCAATAAAATTGCCGAGCAAGTCACAGTGGACCAATGAAAAGCAACGGGAGGGACTCCCCTGCATGCGCAGCGCAACATTTGCTCTGCGGAGCACAAGTTCGCAGCAGGAGGAATATAAAGTTAGCGATCAATGACTTCCTAGAAGACTACCGTATTTTTTTTGGACAATGAAAGAGACTGAGAACGTGCGTGATGACACTTTTTGGAGGCTTTTCAAACCTGACACTGAAGAAGATGACTTTAGGTTTTAGTGCACAGGAGGAAGATGCACATAGTGATCAATGACTTTTCCTGATAAGCTACTGCATTTATTTATTTTTAACCAGCTGTGTTAAATATATTGTTCAGAAAAAAAAACAACATTAACTGTACATATTTGTGTATGTTACCTGTACTTATTTAACCAAAAAAATTTTTTTTAATCTTTCTGTGCAAATATCTCATGTTACAACGTGAACACATGCGGCTTATATATATGTACAAAATTATTTTTGTTTTCATTTTGTATGCGCGGCTTTTATTCGGGTGCACTCTATAGTCCAGAAATTATGGTACTCTTTTTGTGTTAGCTGACAGCCAGGGCATTTGAATCTACATTTTGTAAATCATCCTCTCTCCTTTTCACTTTAAACCTCATTTTTAATGGCCCAGACTGAGTAAACTACACAATAAAGTCATTATTTTGTCAATGTGTGAGCTTAGACTATTTAAACCTGTCAGAGCAAACAGTGTTTGACAAGCCATTCGGAGGAAAACGAGTCATCTGATACCTGTAAGTTAAGTTCAAGCCTCATGCAGCACAAATGAACAGATGTACAACTGCCGGTAGGTTTCAATACAAACTTTACGCTCTTTGAAGTGTTCTTTATGAATAAAAGAACCCCGGATGATAAAAACATTTCTGGTATTATTATAAATTGTACACTTTGGTTCTTTAATAGTCTTTCTGACATCTGTAGTATGTAGTGTTTTACAGGTAGACGAGCTCGAGGCAGATGGTGTTCTTGTTCCAAACAGAGTGTTGGAGCGGCTGCACACATAAAAGCCTTTACTTCAGCTAAATAAACAGAGAGGCAGGGAGAGGGGAGAGCGGGGGGGGTTAGCTCCATCTGTACGATGAGCAGAGCAGTGATGCGTGCAGGATATACTTCTGGCCTAGTTTTGTTCCAATTCCCTTTGCTCTAAGATGTATTTAAGCAAAGGATTTTTATGTCATTAAACACCGAGACGTCCCATTTTCTAGATAATTACTAAACAACGCTGGACTTGTTCAGGCAATTTGTGAGCTTTGTATAATAGTCTGCAAGCTTTAAAAAAAAATCCTTATTTTATAGAGCTGACAGTCTATGACGTAATAAATTAATCAATTAAATTAGTATGTAAACCTGAAAGGCGAGGTGTTTGGTAATTTTTTTTAAATAAAGAAACATGGGATAGAATGTCTATTTACAGTAAAAAGAAAAAAGTCTAGGGGCTCATATGCAGCTACACATGACAAGAGGCTTTTGACTGACTTAAGTAAAATTAAATAAACTGATTCCTCATATTTTTGATGCACACACTGGGTGCTGTGTGTAAAATAAAATGTTAAAATATGTGATTTTACATTTTGCACTCGGCACCATACACATGCATACACACCATCACCTGCATGCAAACAGTCTCCCAGCCAGCTCTGTCCTCAGACTCTTCTCCCAACCAGTAGAAGCTAAATTATTTATGAATCACCTGTTGAATCAATAAAGAGAGGCCCAGACAAACCCAGGCTCCTAAGAGAATGTAAGATTTTAATTAAAAAAAGTGCTGATGTGATCATTTCTTTGCAAAGTAGGAATTAAGCAGAAATAAAACAGACTACTCTCTGTGGATCGAGTGTCTCAGGCAAAAAAAACCCTGACTACAAAAAAAACAGACTTTGTGGAAAGGTGGCATCTCATTACTCCCCCTCTGCCTACTGGATTACAACTCATGTTGCCAGACGTCAGAGGCTTTTGATGAGACATTTTTACGTAGCATCCCATCAACTTAAAATCTGAAGTTCTAATGAACTGAGTCCAGCTGTGAAAATCATTTGGAACACAGATGTGACCCTGTCCAGGTTTTCAGCAAGACTCTTGAGCTCCACCCCGTCTCGCATCATTTAAACCGGTAAACACGCCTGGCATCAGAACTGGAGCGTGTCCTACCTGTGCTTCTTCACTCCATTGTGCTGGGCTGCTTGGTTGCCATGGTTACCGTCCCCTGACATTCCGGCAGCCCCACTGTGCACGCTAGGATGGCGGAGGCTGTTTTGCAGGGGGGGATCTCTGTCCTCGTCCTCTTCGTAGGAGAAGCTGGCCACCGACAGGAAGCCGCTCACAGAGAGTTCCGACTCAGACTCTGTGGGACGATGACAGGGCGGCAGGTGTTAGCTCCAGCAAAACATCTGGAAATCCTACTTTAAGATGACCTGGATCATCAGCTCTTGCTATCTAAACAGCATATGCTTCAAAATTAAAGTGTTTGCGTCCTCCCTCCGCCTCTTGGCTGATGGCCAAACCCCACCTGAGGATTGTGTTCCAATGAGAGGACACAAAGAGGCTTCATTTCCTGCAACACTGTTTGCTCAACACAACTCCGCCTCAATGGAGCACGGTTAGCGGCATTAAAAGGTGCTGTCACAGAAACAAAGGAGAGGAGAATAATGTAGGATTCATACACAAGATGGATTGCATACGCCAGTCAAACATAAGAGTCCATTGTTCTGGATATTAAAAAAAAAAAAATATATATATATTTTCAATAAAGATCTATGAACACATACACATGTCCACTGAAGTTCATGGAACAGCGACACAGGCCGAGGTAGATGTAAATGTGCCTAAATCATAAACGTTTTACTCACCAAAACCATGCATTTTTATATATAATTATTAATGATAATTAATGTACACTTCGTGTTTGTTTGTTTTATTTATAAATTATGTTCAAGTAAATAAGATAAACTCAACTGACTGGATATATAAATAGAAAGCCTCACATCCGTGTGTGAACAAAGATATTGCACACATTTGTAGAAACAGTGATGTTGTAGCGAAGCAGAAATAAGGAAAAAGTTTAAAACCATTTCTAAAACGTTTAAGCTCATTTTGACTCCAGTGGCTCCATGGATCCATCAATTGATTAATCTATTTATCAATCGATGAGGGTTGGGTCATGGAGGCAGGGCAGCAGGTCAATGAGCCAAGCCTAGACATCCTTCTCCAAGCTCATTTTGGGGGATCCCAAGGCATTTCCAAACCAGAGATAAATAGATTTTTTACTGTGTTTTGGATCCACCCTTGGGTTTCCTCCATGGGAAGGTGCCCAAACTATATCAGCCGACTCCTTTGGATGAGGAGGAGCTCTACCCATGAGATTCTCAAGGATGACAGAGATCTTCACCCTGTCTAAACTCTGCCACCCTACAGATGAATCACCCTACAGCTTTATGTATTTGAGCTCTGGAGATGATCCATATGTCGTAACCACAGGTGAGGGTTGGAAGAGATGGCCCAGAAAATCAGGAGCTTAACCTTTCAGCTCAGCTCCTTCTCTACCATCAGAGACTAAAACAACCGCCCAAATATCCATCCTTCTCTTGCTGCATCGCACCATCACCCACGAACAAGAGCAGAATTTAAATTAATCTGATTGAGGCAAAGACTTACCTGGAGGGAGCATTTAACTTTGACAGTAACTTCAATAAATGTGATTAAAGTAGTAAACATAAGACTGCTCTTTAACTAAGGAAAATAAAAAAGATAATATGGGTAAGACTTTTTTTTTTTTTTTACTTTGAGCACAACTCCAAAGTTTAAACATGGTGGTGGAAGGATCATGCTGTGTGAGAGGATTTACATCCATTTTGATGCTGCTTGAGAAGTTCTGGCTCCAAAAACAAACAAAAAAAGACTCATTTTAACGACGAGTGCTGGCTAATGTGTCAGTATAATTGAATTATCAGTAAAGCACCATGTTAGAGTATAAATTATTGAATATTAGTTGAAAAAAAAAACATTCTGAAGAAGAGACACCGAATTACTTTTGTTGTACCAGTAATGTGTATTTCAGGGATTTATCATGTAATTAATTGCTCATCTGAGAGTCACTGACCTGACACAGCATCGTAGAAGTCATCTTCATTAAGGGTAGAAAGGTTGGAAGATCTAATCTTACTCAAGGACTGTTTGAGCTCTTGGCGCTCAGTTGCTAAAGTTTCTAGAGCTTCTGTCAGAGCTTTGTTCTTTTCTTCCTCCTGCTCTACCTTTAGGCTCCACACCTGCAGGCACAGGACGAGAAGACAGATAAAACACAGACAGCAAGAATCTGTTCATTGATACCAAGCCAACGTTTTTCTGTGCATTCATCTGAACTGTAAAAATCAACAATGCTTCCAAATTCCTAACTGGAGTTTGAGCAACACATGGGCAGTGAGCTGCTTGTTCGGTGCGTGTCCCGGTGGTGCCGATGGCAGGTCATCGTTTAAAACACTGCAAACCGATCTAGTTTCTTTCTGGTGGAACCATACACCCCCGTTTCAGAAAGCTCTGTGGCCCAGGATTAGGTGTCCTTTCAGAGCAACCTGAGCGAGGCCACTGTGGGATACGACAGATCAACGTTTCCCATCGTCTGCAGCTGGAGTGCAACCTGCACTAAATAAACCAAAGAGACAAAACTAATAAGAATACTATATGGCATATTGTAAGCCTGTTGACTAATTATATACAGCAATCTATAGCAATGGCTTAGACAAGCAGAGACCTTGTATAACCTTTGACCTTGATTAACCTCCTAAGACACAAACTCTTGCATATGTGGATGCCTGGTCCTAGGAGGTTGAAGCTGGGGTGATAGGGAAAAAACACACACTGTAGTAGAGGTACATAATTTTGTTCAACTATCTTGAACTGCTAAGAAGTTATAGTCTAGACAAGCAAATACCTTGTTTTAAATTTGACCTTGATTTGTGACCTTGAAGCTGAGCTGATGAAATGCATACAATGCTCCATCTAGGGATAATACATGTGTTTCAAGTTTTGTTAAATTATCTTGAGCTGATGAGAAATTATGCACGTTTGTCTACATTTTCTTAATCAACCTAAATAGATTAACTCAATTTACAAATTTATTTGGGGGGGGGGGGGGGGTCACTTGAAATCAAACAAAGTGCTGCGGTCACAAAAACTGGAGCACAGCTTTGGCCTCTGAAAAGCCTTGCTCGGTAGCCTCGAGGAAGACTGACGACTCAACAGAGGCTTGTAAATCCTGTTGTAAATCAAAGACTGCAAACCAAAGCCCGAGAGTTGGACGGAGGCTGAAAAGCTCTGAGTCTTCAACATCTGCAGTATTGTTTCAAGTTCAAGTATCTTTACTGTTGAGCCATCACATGTGGTGCATGAGGTGGAATGAAATTATGTACTCAGGATCCTAGTTACACACAAAAATTCCAAAATATAAACTATAAAAAGAAACTGTACACAAGGATCTAAGATATACGCTAAACAAACACCAAAGGGTACGCTAAAAGATCTAAGATATACATTAAATACTAATAATGTAAAACAATACAACAGCAGCCTGAACATGAGTCTGTGATGAGCAGATGGGTACAAATGAATACAATTTCATAAAGTGTGCACTACTCAAAAATACTGCCTGGCACTGTTCCTTCTAGTGGGTTCAAGATTGAAAATAGTCTTTAAACTAAGTGTATAGTGAAGTCGAGACGTAAACTGATCTAAAGTGAATTCTTCATTTTAAAAAGTTTTAGGTGTTTAAGGGTTTTTAAACAACAGTCAGGACAATCCTCCAGTGGCTTCGATGGTAAAAGTCTGATGATAATGAATGTTTACCAACTCCAAGTCCAAGAACTACACTGACTGTGCAGTTAAATACAAGGCAGCCGTCTCAGCTATAGTATTGTAGCATGTTTCATATCTCTAAATATGTAAAATGATTTCAAACAGAATACTTTTGAACAGTTAGTTTATAAAGCTGTTGTGTTGAAAGCAAGGCATAAAAATCAGGGAAACCGTTTTCCCTCATCAGCAAACACTTTTAGCATGAAAATGTGTCTTGCCACCTTTCAAAAGTGTTGTTCTGAGGAACACAGCAGTGACTGGCGTTATCACCCGATCTCTGGGATGCACTAAACAAGTCTGATACGTGATGGTTCCAACGCATTACCTAAAATTGATGTTTTTGCTGAAATATACAACAGATCTTCGGGAGTTCATGCTTCAACACAACAGGGCTGATTTTGCAGCAAAATGAAGACGTGCTAAATGTTAGACTGACAGTCATTATCATTTGATTAACTCACCAGACTCCGGTTTAGAGCCTATGAGATGAACTAAATAGCAGCAGGATAAAAAAAAAAAGTCTCTTAAACTTCCAAACACCAATAAATCATTGCAGAGCATCTGTGGCCCAGAATCTTAACACAGACCTGCACTGAGTTTGAAAGCAGTTCTGTTAGATTGCTGTAATTCCAAATATAGATTTGGCCACAAACCTCTGGGAAATGATCTATTTAAATTTGTACAAGCAGGTTTAGGCAGGAAAGTAAAAGATTAACGTGCTATTCATAATTTCCAGTCTAATAACCAATTGAACAATAAAAACTGACATTGAAACGATTAACTATGTGTGAATCATTTATTTATCTCACTTTTATAGCAAACACCATCATTATAATTATGAAGAAAGCATGCAATCTAGAAAGAAAAGACCCCTTCAGCCGTTTCTCACTTCATCTAGCTGATGTACCACGATGACCTGAAACACTTTCCTGTTCTACTGCAGAAAAACGGTTGATTCAAAATAACAAGAGTAAGATTTAGTTGTAGTGCTGATCAATCCCATGTAAAGCATGAGTCCGAGATGACAAATGTTTGCTGATAAATCTTTCCAAAAAGATCTGCCATATAACCGCTATGATCAGAATCTCAGAGATTATCAGACTTGGTTGTCATCGTAAGAATACAAAGAAATTAAGTTTTCCCTCACGGTGCCAAAGACATGTAAAAGACAAAATGTGAAAGATAAAAAACGCTTTGCAAAATAAAAAGAACAATATACAGCACAGCACACTATTGCACATTAAGGAGTTATTGCACATCTGCACATGGTTATTATACATTCATTGTACATTGTTATTGCAGCGTAGGTGCTATGTGGCATTTAATGCCCAGATGGCTGCAGGATAAAAGCTAATTTTCAGTGCATTTGTCCTCATTTTATTGCTCCTGTCGAGGAATTTAGCCGGGGATTTCAAAAGTAATTTTTGAAGGGGTCCCTTAAGATACGGTAGTCAAATATAAATGTACTGTTGTAAAATGAAATGGAAATTAAACATTAATTACTGTGTTGTTTGCCCAGTGCAGAATCTAACAGGAGCACTGAACATCTTTTTCCAGCCACTCATTTTTGAATAAAAATTCCACGCCGATCATGCGGCTCATCCATCAATAAGCCAAGTAAGTGTCATGTCCAATCTTATTTTGAAAAACCGCGATAGAGCGAGTCTGTAATAAACGAACCGCGAAGTAGCGAGGGGCTTCTGTAGTATCAAACGCAAACTATTCATTCGAAACAATTCATTTTAAGAAATTAGGTCAATCTGTCCTCCAGTAGTCTAACCCTATAGCAGCATAACAAGCCAACCCTAACTATAGGATTCATCTAAAAGGAAAGTCTTGAGCCCAGTCTTAAAACTGGACAATGCGTCAGCCTTATGGACAGAAACTGGAAGTTGGTTCCACAAGAGGAGAGCCTGAAAGCTCTTCCTCCCATTCTGCTCTTGGAAACTCTAGGAACCACAAGTAAGCCTGAGGACTGACAGCAAAGTGCTCTGTTAGGAAAATCTGTAATATAAGATGGAGCTAGGTTGTTGAGGGCTTTATATGTTAGAAGACAGACAGACGGACAACCATTTAAATGTTGCTAAACATCTGACATGCATCCATAGACAATAATAAAAATCAAAATGAAAAATTAATCACGACCAGAGAAACGTATACATCGCTCCGATATCACCATGGAAACGTGTAAACTAAAACTCTGCGGTGGTCGTTCAAGATTTTTAATGTGCTCACTTGGCAGGTGAATAATGCTGAGAAACCGTCGGCACTTTGCACAAGAGCCCATCCACTGTTGTGCAACAATCACAGCCAGCTCTTTCATTCTCTCTCCATCCTCTCGCCTGGGCACAAACTTCTTCTTCTTGGCCAACACCCCAAAGAGTAATGTTTAATTCACCTCTGTGCTGGAGAGGGAAAATCTCGAAGGGAAAAATATACTTTTTTTTTTAAATGTGCTACGTTATTGTAATTGTACACCAAACTGCTCAAGTCAGAAAGTCAAGAAAGTAAAGAATGCATCTCTTAAGCAAGAAATCAAGTTATCATTTGCACAAAAATAAAACTAAGGTTAAAAACTATATGAAAGTGTTTATTTCCCTTAATACCAGAAGCTTTAAAACAGCAGCAGCTTCTTTTTAACCAATTTCCAGTTTGTTTGTTTTTTTAATACAAATTACGGCTAAAAAAAATATACAAACATCATGGCTTCACAGAAACAAAGATCTGCTCATCTGCAACCACTAAGTGATCTCAAGCTCTGCGCCTCTATTTGTTTTCCTGACAGGCATGTTATGTTGCCTGCCAAACGGCGAATTGTTGGGTCAATAAATCTGTGACAGTGTCCGCCTGAGCTCGACGTTCTGCAGCTCAGTTTTTAAATTAGACTGATCCACAAAACTAAACAAGCAGCAGAAATTTCTCTGCTTGAAATACCATTTATTTACCAGCTCGTCGTCCTGCATTTGTATAAAGTGGCTGCAACAGCTGCTGATTTAGGTCACGTCTACAATGCTGAGGGGCAAAACTGTAATTGCTGTAAAAGCTTTTGAACCATTTGTTGTTTCACTGTGCTACAATCCTCCTGCAGCTCAGAGTCCAAGTACAACAGCACATGTGCTTCTGTTGCATGCTTTATGCACCCAAAACAAACATCCAAGTGTCACTAGTAGTTACATTTATGGTGAGGCAATGAAATAGTGAGATTAGACTTAATACAGCTTAGAACTAGCAATCTCAGCAGTGTAGGAAATATAATCCAGTTAAAGTGTGGAGCAGTGGATGCTGCATGCCTGTTAAGACATTTCTTTGTTACACTGAAGCTTTTAAAACTAATTTGGACCTTTTCTACTGATAAAACTGCAGTAGATCTCTTCAGTCTTTTGGTTGTGCCTTCCTTATGAATTTCCATCTCAATGATTTGGCATCAGAACACTTTCACGCATGCCAAGATACACTCCAATATTAAGATTTAGGCTCTAGAAAGAGCAGCCATTATATTCAGATAGTTAACCACAAATCTTCCATTTAAACGCAAATTGACGAGTATTATGTTCAAGTCTTCTGTGCAATATTAATCCCTGCCCGTCTACGCTCATCCTTCGACTGAATTCATTACTTAAGATGATCTCATTAGGAAATGAAATGAGTAGTGGGGCGCGCAGCAGCACTTCAAACACACCCAATTTATCATGTTAAAATCAGATGATTAAAAACCAAAGGAATGACCTTTGCGCGTTGATGAAAAGCCGTTGGCGGTGCACACGCTTCAAAACAAAGCTCAGAGTAAACAACAGGCTACAAACGTCAGAATAAATTGACGCTCAACTTCAAATGCCTCGCACCAAGTCGGCTGGGATGAGCCCACAGCAAACAGCATTTCTCTCGATCACCAGCTGGAAAAAAATCTAAGAATACACACGAGAAAATCTGCCAAATCTTTTACCTGTTCGGGCGCTGAACGAAAGCGCCGTCTCTGCCTCTTCTTTCTCCTGTGTGAGGATGCTTCAGCATGTGGATGGGAGCATGCACTTTCAAAAAGTGGGGGTGAAAACGTGCATCTTTAAGTCGGTGAATATGCGAGCGCTCGAGTTCCCTCACTCAATGCACACACAGCCTCTTCCCCCAAAGCAGAGGGTGAGGATCCAATTCAGAGGGTTTTACAGTGTGTGCACGTGTGTGTGTGTGTGTGTGTGTGTGCGTGTGTTGTCTGCGTCTGCTCTGATCTGTAAGCCGAATGCAGACCCAAGCATAAAAACAGATCTCTCCTATGTCCTTCCTACAGACATGCCAGTGATTATCGCACCATTCCAGTACTCCCCCCCCCCCCCCCCAACATTACAAGGGCAGAACACAGCCACTGAGACGGGTGGACAGAGACACGTAAGCATGCACATAAGTTTAAATATGATGGGCACAAGGGAATAAAGGGAAGGGGCTTGAAGATTTTATAATCATTCAGTATACTGGTAATATAAACAACCAACAGGAAAACGTGCGCATGTGTGCACGTGTAAGAGAATCAATGAAAAGATCTAGACACGTTCAATGAGCGGGAGCAAATAACATCAAGCACCAGAAGTTTTAAAACATCACATCTAAATAAGAAGAGGTAATTCCAGTCATAAAAACACAACAACAGACCATACAAGAAAACATTAGAGTGCATGAAATATTGTGGGGTTAACAGTGAAGTTTGTGATCCCAAAATAATTCAGTGGCTGTAGATTAGTTAACATAAAATATGACGAGGAAACTCCTCTTACCTCCTCTTGTTTAGACAGCAGTTCAAAGCACAACTGTAGAGCGTCACACGTTTTACTTGAAAGCTCACTCGTCTCTTTGGCTTTCAGTAGAAGAGGTGCAGCTAGCGCTATAAATATAAAAAAAAACCATGACATAGATGTCTATTAGCCTAAAATTTTTATTTCTTTATAACAGTGATGCTCAGTCAGACATCCAGTTGCCAAGCGACAGCTCAAGAAAGTAGGGTTTCCCTTTAAAGTGCATCGATATGCCATCTTGTTGCGAACCGACACCATATACTGCAAGTACAAATGAATGAAAACTAGTATCCGAGACTATTTTTACGATTACCCAATAACTGATCAGTACAGTAGACCATTTAGTAGGGTGTGGCAAAATTTGTTTAGGTATTTTACTTCAATGAATTAAACTATATAAATTATTTAAATATACATAAAATACTTAAAAACATGTTATGAATATTCACAGATTTACTGTTTTTATTTTGACAGCCTTAAAGTAATCGTAGTAGTGGTAATAGTGGTACTAGTAGTTGTAGTAGTAGTAGCAATAGTGGTAGTAGTAGTTGTAGTAGTAGTTGTAGTATTAGTAGCAATAGTATTGGTAGTAATAGTAGTAGTAGCAGCAGCAGCAGCAGCAGCAGCAGTAGTAGTAGTATTAATGTTTCTGAATACTTGAAGCGTGGATCACAGACTTTGGGTTTCAGACAGATGAGAAGCATTTATTTTCTGTTGGAGAAAATAACTCTTGAAGTGAACTTTAATTTTTGAAGCCTTAAGATATTTTCTATGCACTCAAGTTAAGTGGAAACCACAAAATAATATAAAGATGCTGGTCATAAAATCAGAATATCATGAAAAAGTTATTTCAAAAATTCCATTCAAAAAGTGAAACATGTATATTATATTCATTCATTACACACAGAATTTGGGGTTTTCATTAGTTGTCAGTTATAATCAACAACATTAAAATAAATAAACATTTGAAATATATCACTCTGTGTGTAATGAATGAATATAGAAGTTTCACTTTTTGAATGGAATTACTGAAATAAATCAACTTTAACTAAATTGTCCGTAGGTGTGAGTGAGAGAGTGAATGGTTGTTGGGTCTCATTTGTCTCTATATGTCCCTGTGATGGACTTGCGACCTGTCCATGGTGTATCTCGCACAATGATTGCTGGACATGGGCACTGGAGACCCCAGTGACCCAAAATGGAAGAAGCGGGTAAAAGATAATGGATGGAAATCAACTTTTTCATGATATTCTAATTTTATGACCAGCACCTGTATAACCCTTAGTTATCAATAGATCAAAATAGCTGATGATCTTTTTTTTCGAACTGGTGCATCTGTAACTGCGGTAGAGTGGTCGCCTCTTCAGTCTGCCATGTTCAGGAACAACACTGAACTTCTCTTACAAACTGCGTTGACATAAAGCATCCAATATAATAATTTAATGCCATCTTGTCTAACGTCTCTAAATACTTCAATAGTTTTACAAAAATAAAAAGTTTGGACACTAAATGAACTACAAGGATTTGTTCATTACCTACCAAAGTGCTCCTCATTCTTCACCATGGATTCAAATATTGAGACTTCACTCTCCAGTTTCTGCTGGTAGGTCTTGGCTGCCTGCGAGAGAAGAAGGCAAGAGGGGCACTTGAGCTGTGGCAACCTCTGCATCTTCATACAAAGACTAACTTTTAGGCAGTGGAGGACCGCAGAGAAATAAACTGTCTCGGATGACTTAATGTGCTGTATTAAAATCCTTAATTAGGAAATATGGAGACAAGCTGATGCTTGGAAGCTTTAAAAAGAGCAATCACAACATACAATCAGAAGCTCCATGAATCTCTAAGAAGCTTTTGGGGAATGCAAGGATCCATTGTTTACTCCCAAATGACACACAGTATGTGCGGTTTATCCGATCTAGATGTGTCAAGAGCAGTCAAAATTCTCCTGAAATGTATAAGCAGTAAAAAAAAAAATAAAGCTATTAAACCACATGTGTGTTCGTGTGATACAAAGCCTACTTGAAAAGCCTGAGTCAGGTTTTTCATTTCAGCATCACCACCAGCATCGTAAATAATCGGGTCTCCAGTGCAGTGACGAGTGCTGTAGCATGCATGCTCCTCCAAGGCATCCAACCATTTCTAAGCACACAAATAAACATAATTTACTTGCTAGTTCATTTGGGCAGTCATGTCTGCAGACACAGGTCGTATAGCAGCAGCAGAGAAGGTTTTTTAATCTCACTTTTCTTGCTGCCAATGAATCTATTTTTGATGGAACCTTGAAATGATGGACAGAGTCATCGAAGCACCGGAGCATGAAGAAGCAATGATCCCATGGTTTAACCTGACATGACAAACAGGTCAGGAACATGTTTGCTGTTCCAAATATCAAACATCATATTTCAGGTTGAGTCCAAGCACAACTGAAACCTGTTATGGACGTGGAGTCCTGTAGAATCATAATACATGACACCAACTACTTACCATGCAATACGCGTGTGTAAGAGACTTCGATCCCTGTTTTCTAACACCATCTCGTGCATCAGTTCTAAAACGTACATTACAAAAATGAGCATTAAAACCCTGAAAATGGTCAGTTGGATAGGACTGTGTCTGTTCTCTCACTCTCTGGGGTACCAAGAGATGGTTCCATTTTCTACAACCACCCATTGAGATCGCCAGCCAAGGAAGTGTGAGCTCTGTCAAAGATACAGCAAGCAATGTTTAAAAATGTGCATCACATTCACAGGTACATCATTTCAGTTGTTTTACAATCAAAGAAAAACATAAAAACCTTAAATATCTACAAAAAACTAGACTTTACTAAGTAATGTTCCATGTGAAAATCTTGGCTCTTGCTGCGGCTGTAGATGTTGCTTTGATCCAAACAGACTGTCGTCTCACCAAGTAGGACAACGAGCCACATCACAATGCAAATACTGTTCAGGAAACGTGCCCAGAAAATAAAACGTTCCTGAATGTCAAACACCAATCAAATGAAGTATGCACCAAAACAAGCAATTACTTTAATGATTTACCCATAGACATATATGAATACTAGACGCCCCATTGAGCGGGCTGGCCTGCTGCAGCGGTACGTCAGAGTGTCCTGCTATTTTAAATGTGGCAGAACTGCCAGCCATTTAATGCAAAGAAATGGACAGAACTTCATAAAGCACCGCTCTGCAAAGTGTTTTAAACTGATCACTGATCATTCACACACACTAATACCGTATTTTCCGGCGTATAAGTCGCATTTATTATGCGTCACCTCTGAGCCGTCTCGTTTATTATGCGTTTATTTAATGGTCAAAACAGCTTCATTTTGCCTGGGTGGTGCAGCGCCATCCATTCATCCATCCATCGCAACCAGAGCCGCTAGCTCTCCCAACATTCCTCTACCTGCACCAGCTGAGTGAAGGGAGCATGCACAGGAGGACTATCTGTTGCAGTTCTTTGAAATTTAACAAGATTAAAACTTAAAAACAATTATTTGTTTGCTCGACATTATAGCAAAGGTGTGTCTCAGTTTAGGTTTTTCTTAATAAATGCACTTTAATAGTCAACACAGCTTCATTTCGCCTGGGCAACGTGGCGCCATCCATCCATAGATGCCAATTCTCCAGTGTTCCTCTGCCTGCACTAGCTGAGTGAAGCGAGCGTGCACAGGAGGACTCGCTGTTGCAGTTCTTTGAAATTTAAAGCGTCAGCCAAAAATTGTGTTACGAATATGGGAAAAAAAACAAAAAAAAACGCATACAAGTCCCTTCAGCGTATAAGTCACAGGACTGACAAATCTATGTAAAAAAAAAAACTGACTTATACCCCAGAAAATATAGTATATATGGGAAAACAAACAGGCACTAAAGACAACATTTGTAACGTGTTACAAATGTTGTCTTTAGTGCCTGTTAGTTTTCCATATATATTAGTGCGTGTGAATGACAGGCAATCAACCTAAAACACATTGTAGAACGGTGCTTTATGAAATTCTGTCCATTTCTTTGCATTAAATGACCAACATTTAAAATGGTGGCGACGTCGACGTACGATTCAGCGCTCAATGGGGCGTCTACATATATACGTCTGTGGATCTACCAGCCTGACACCTAAGAAGTCCATTTCCTGATAAGTGGTTTGAAAACAAGAGGAGCAGACAATATTAAGCAGCTGGTTTTATAATAGCCAATCACTATAAACGTACAAAAGCGGCAACTTAAAAAAAAACGTATTGAAATGTGTCAGTTATTTAAAACGTTACACAAGCGCATAAATCAGTAAAACTTCAGTTTACTGAATGAGGGATTGATTAAACTATCATCATATTTGATTGATTGTTTCACTCTTGATTCTCTCCTGGCCCCATGCTGCAGTAGATCTGTTTTATCCATCAGCCTCGTCCAGCAAAGTCTGTGGGCCTAACACTTGTGCAAACAAAATGACTGTGTTGGTCTAACATGGATTCTTAAAAAAAACAACAACATAGCAGCTCTCTTTATAAAAGATGTGCATGGTGCGCTGATGAGCAGCAAAGCATTTTTAAGACCAACAGAAAATATGGAATAAATAAACCCAGCACTATAACAATGTACTTATTGACTGTGCAGTAACATATCTACAGCATTTCCCCTACTATTATCCAAGGAGGGCACCCCGCCCTGTCTACAGAACCCAGAGTCCTGCCCACAAGATCCCCCTCGCAGCCGCCAGTTCCACTACTTCTGGAGGTGGAGCGGAGATTGTAGCAATAGGATAAGCAGTTCAGACCTAGCATTAGTGCTGGAACGCTCTACTGAGCCCCCTGTCAACAAGCGTAGCCATTCCTAAACAACCCCCCCCCCCCCCCCCCCCCACCAATTGACAACTGCCAGCAACATAACGCTCTGCTTCAGAAGATACAAAGAAGACAAAGGAGATGGTCGTCGACTTCAGAAGGAACACAACTATCCCCACCCCTCCACCCAACATAGGAGGATCTGCAGTGGAAGTGGTCTCCAGTTAAAAGTACTTGGGTGTGCACCTGAATGACAACCTCAGCTGGGGCAACAACACCACCAGCCTGATCAAGAAAGCTCATCAGAGACTCCAGTTCCTCAGACGGCTGAGAAGAGCTGGTCTGAGAAGCTCAGTCCTCACCTCCTTCTACAGGTGTGCAGTGGAGAGCATCCTGTGCTGCAGCATCAACGTGTGGCATGGAGGCTGCACAGCTGCAGAAAGAAAAGCTTTGCAGAGAGTGGTGAAGGCTGCACAGAAGACTGTTGGAGTCAGTCTCCCCATCATCACAGACATTTACACCTCTAGATGCAGGAAGAGGGTCACCTGCATCATGAAGGACCCCACTCACCCAGCACACACACTTTTTACCCCACCCCCCTCAGGCAGGACGTTGAGGAGCATTAAGTGCAGAACCATTAGACTGAGGAACAGCTTCTAACCTGAGGCTGTTAGACTCATGAATCCCTAATCAGGATAATATCACGGTGAAAAAAAAAAAGAAGAAAATCGCTGTAACGTCACTTGATTGTTGATATGTGCTGCTGACTATCCATGTTGCTGGTTTATTTCATGTTGCTGGTTTATTTCATGCTGCTGGTTTATTTCATGCTGCTGGTTTATTTCATGCTGCTGGTTTATTTCATGCTGCTGGTTTATTTCATGCTGCTGTGTTCATTAGTCCTCATCTGCTCACACAGACTCATGTTTGTGCTGCTGTTGTTCGGCGTATTGTTTTTGTACCATTAGTGCTTAGTGGATTTCTTAGTTCATATCTTAGATCTTACTGTTTTACAATGTATACTTTTGTTGGATGGAACTGGGACCCTGCGTACACAATTTTGTTCCACCATATGTGCCACATGGGATGAGAATGACAAAAAGAAACCTTGATGAATTACAGGCTGAACAAAAATAGCAGATGAAAAGACATTCCAACATCTGTGTACCTTCCAAAGAGGGCCCTCGACCCTCTGCACTCCACCTGCCACATCCTAGAGAGAGAAACAAAAAGGCTCGGCTCAGTTCACGTTAAAGTGAACACGCATGACAAATTTTTAATTTTCTCAGCAGCTCAAATTGTAACCCTTTAGTCATTTGCACCGTGACTATACAAAATGCTTTCCTGAAGCTGTGCTTATCAAACATCCAGCCCAGAGCAAGGACTGCTGACTTGTAAAGAGTTTTCTGCTCAGTCATCAGAACTCATGAGCATGCATACAAAAACAGAAGAAAAGAAACGCAGAGAATCAACCATCTTTGCATTTTAGACAATGAGAAATGAGGTTTTTATTGTTGAGAACAATGAAATAAAACAAATTTAAAAAGGAATCGCATTCAAAGTTGCACACTCAAGCAAGACCGTGCACCTGCCACAAATAATACGTTCCAAGAAGCAATTTATATGAAAATATAATGAAAATGTGGAACTTTTAATACAGGCAACCCTTGTACCGGTAAATCAAAGGAAGATGGATATTACACATTGTTTGTTCTCACCTTCTGATAGGCTGCTACAATACGTCTCAGGTCTTCAGTAGGAACCAGGTCCAGTGCCGTCTGATCTGCAACATTAAACAGTAAATATTAACAAAAATCTTCTCTATAACTATAAAGAACATGATTAATGACAAACCATTGTTGTTCTTAATGATTGGGCAGGCTCCAGACTTCAGCAGCTTTATAACGCACTGCTTCTGCCCTCTGTAGGTCGCACAGTGTAAAGGCGTATTCCCCAGGGCGTCGCTGCAGTGGATATCTGGAGCCTCTTTCCCACTGAGCTGAAGAACAGAGGTCCGGTTAACCAAGGCAAACAAATTCTCACATATCAACTAACAACAAAATTAACACAAAACAAAACAGTTGAAATTCAGCAAATGCCAGAAGAAAATGTATAAAATAGAAGGACTGGCGCACAGTCTTGTTTTTGGGGTTTAAGGCCCAAACCTCAGAATTAAAGAAAAGATCCCGGGAGCAGCATAAATCTGTGCGTTTCTCACAACATCTCCAAGACAACTGGCATCTGTGAAAGCCCCTTCACTATGACCTATTACAGAAGGCTGACAGATCCTCGAAAAGTGTAATATATTCACCCAAAGTTCTTAGAAAGGTCAGACGCTAACCAATTTAGACAGAGTGGAGAGATCCCCCTCTCTAGCAGCTTCCAGAAGCTTCTCCTCCCGTCGTCTCATCTCCCTCCTCTCTGCAGCTGCACAAAAACAGTACTTGAGACCAAAGACAGCTGAGCTTCTGTAATGAGAAGCAAACACCCTTGAAAAACAAAGGAAACGGGATTTTGTACCTTCGAGCATGGTAATGATTTCATCATCTTGTGTGACATCTTTGGGGATCTGTGCCGTCCCATTGATTATACTGGCACAGGCAGCGTACCGGAGCAGCAACAAAACAATCTCCTTTAAAATCCAAAGAACAGACAGTGATCATCACTTGTTATCAATTGATGCTCCTAATGGAAGATAATTAAAATATTGAAGGTGGCTTTGTGCTGCTGGTGATACCTTTCTTCCAGTAGAAGCTGCTTTGTGTAGAGCGGTGTCACCCAACTTATCCTGCAGATTCACATCCACCCCTGCCTGCAAATAAATCAGAGTAGAAAAGTTATGGTTGTTTAATACAAGACATCGACTGAATGTGGATTTATTGCCCGTCACCGAAAGGCAAAGGCAGATAATGTTTCTGGCTCGTGTTTGTTACCAAAATACACTATACTGCCAAAAGTACTCGCTCACCTGTCTTGACTCGCATATGGCCTTAAGTGACATCCCATTCCTAATCCATAGGGTTCAATATGACGTTGGTCCATACTTTGCAGGTAGAACAGCTTCAATTCTTCTGGGAAGGCTGTCCACAAGGTTGAGGAGTGTGTTTATGGGGATTTGTGACCATTCTTCCAGAAGCGCATTTGTGAGGTCACATACTGATGTTGGACGAGAAGGCCTGGCTCTCAGTCTCCGCTCCAATTCATCCCAAAGGTGCAGCATGCATCAGGATATCATCCCAAAGGTGTTCTTTTGGGTTGAGGTCAGGTCTCTGTGCAGGCCAGTCAAGTTCATCCACACCAGACTTTACCATACATGTCTTTGCTTTGTGCACTGGTGCACAGTCATGTGGGAAGAGGAAGGGGACAGCTCCAAACTGTTTCCACAAAGTTGGGAGCATGGAATTGTCCAAAATGTCTTGGTATGCTGAAGCAGTCAGAGTTCCTTTCACTGGAACTGAGGGGTCAAGCCCAGCTCCTTGGAAACAACCCCACACCTTAATCCCCCTCCACCAAACTTTACACTTAGCACAATGCAGTCAGACAAGTACCGTTCTCCTGGCAACCACCAAATCCAGACTCGTCCATCAGATTGCCACATGGAGAAGCGCGATTCGTCACTCCAGAGAACGCGCTTCCACTGCTCTAGAGTCCAGAGGTGGCGTGCTTTACACCACTGCACCGACACTTTGCATTGCACTTGGTGATGTACGGCTTGGATGCAGCTGCTCGACCATGGAAACCCATTCCATGAAGCTCTCTGTGCACTGTTCTTGAGCTAATCTGAAGGCCACATGAAGTTTGGAGGTCTGTAGTGATTGACTCTGCAGAAAGTTGGCGACCTGATCGCACTATGCGCTTCAGCATCTGCTGACCCCGCTCCGTCAGTATACTTGGCCTACCACTTCATGGCTGAGTTGCTGTCAATCCCAAACACTTCCATTTTCTTATAATACAGCTGACAGTTGACTGTGGAATATTTAGGAGCGAGGAAATTTCACGACTGGATTTGTTGCATAGGTGGCATCCTATCAGTTCAACACTAGAATTCACTGAGCTCCTGAGAGTGACCGATTCTTTCACAAACGTTTGTAAAACAGTCTGCATGCCTAGGTGCTTCATTTTATACAGCTGTGGCCATGGAAGTGATTGGAACACCTGATTCTGATAATTTGGCAATGTAGTGTAGGTTGTGGATCATTGGACAAATTTTAATGCAACATGTAGAAAGTGGTCACTGGATGAATATCTACTCGTTAACTTTTAGAATTAACACAATTTAAAATGGCTGCTGCAGCCAATGAAACGTAAAAACACATAACTGGCCGTGACTCTGTCCATTTTACATAAATGATGAGAAAACTTAGTGTGGTAGTAGCTGAGACTGATCCCCAACACATATTCTGGGCTTTTAAAGATTGCCTAAGAACTTTGTTAAAAACTTGGCAATTAACCGTTTAAATTCAACTCTGTTGGATAAAATATTTCATGAACGACTGTAGAGATTAAAAACGTTCAGGTAATAATCCCTGGGTATACCTCAAAAACTCATTAATATTTGGAGCCAACTCAATTCAAGATGGCTGCCACAGCTAATCAGCATTAGTCAACACAATAAAGACTTCAAGTCTGTGTGTTTCAATCCCTGATCACTGGGACAGGCATGTTTTCCATTTGTGCCTGCCTGTTTGAATCTTTGGCTCAGATTCCAGCGATTAAAAGTCACATCGGACATATAGGATTTCATAAAAAGTAGGAATTTATTATACTCTCCTACATTTTGTGCAACTTTCATGACAATCTGTTGATCCAAAAGTGGCTTATGAAGCATCCTGATGCATGCTCAGGCTTATGAAGCCTTAAAACAATATAAGTTTGCACATTTTTTTAATCCATCTAAAATCACCATAACGTCCTTATTTCTCAACTAGTTTGAACCAAGTTGGTATCCTTTTGTCTTTTAAGCTGCATCCAATAAAATGAGTTTTAATACAATTTGGGAACTGTGATTTTTTTTTTTAAAACATACATCAACTGTGCAAAAATACTTTATGTGGTAGTCACAACAAATACTCAGATCTCAACATTTCACGATACCACATAAAAATGTCCATAATATTACTTTAGTAGTTTGACCAAAATGGCTACACATAAGATTATCTTAAACTATGGCACCAAAGGAATGCTAGGCTCATGTGGCTCCTACCTTGAGTAACTCCTCCACAACATCCCTGTGACCAGAGCTACAGGCCAGGTGGAGAGCTGTCCATCCTGAGGTGCTTTTACACCTGGCTGCAGAAAGAGGGAAACCATCACTCTCTCAGCTGTGAACAACCCCCACAACCCCCCACCCCTATACATACATCTGCAGTTGATGTCCAGCGAGATGTTTTTGTCCATTCTCGACTGAAGCAGCTTCTTGATAAGGAGACAGTTTCCTTGTTGAGCGTGGTGGAGAAGCTGCTGCTCTCCTTCAGTGTCTTCTTCCATGACTGGACCCAATTAACACCAATTAGCGTCTGTAAGATTCAAAGACTTTTTTAAATTATTATTATTATTATTAAAGAGTGACTCGGTTTACTTATTAAGTCAAAAGAAGTCACATTTTAGTCGTAGTAAGACTTGTTTATGTGAATACTTACTTTAGCTTAAGTGTTTTTGTTTTGTTGTTGTTAAAAGACCACAGAGGATAAAACAAAGTAGCTTTAGACAACTTGCTCACTAACTTCGGCTGAAATGAGAAGGCAAAACTTGGACTTACACTCCTCAACAACTAAATTTATCCAGCTTTTGGCAGACAGGGACTCACGTGTTCAACACTTCGCAGCTCAAACCTCAATCAGCTGACGGCTCGGCGGTCACGTGGCCCCGCGCAGCTGCCAAACCCGTTGTGAGCAGGGGCGGAGCTAAATCAGCTATCACCATGGGTGACTGCTCGGCCCCCTCAGTCCCACCCAAACCTGCAAGTAAACAAGCAGCTCAAAACAACAGCTGCAAATATAATTTTTGTTCATTTACTGAATTATTATTTACTATTTTATTTAGGTCAATACAAACTTTTGAATTTTATTTTTCACCCCACCCAACCATAGGAAAACAATTTAATGCAACTTTAGATACAATGTTGATCTTCAACTTAGTGCTCTTTACTCACTTTAATGAGGTCTAGGAGCATGCATTTTAACAGAACTAGATCATGATGATTTCGAAGGCTTGGCTCATAGTTTCGGTTACATATCAGGAAGAAGCAAAACCAGTTTGCTGATTTAGTTCTCAAGTGGGGATGTCTATTCCTGGTTCCAGAGAGTGACTACCCTATGTTTTACTTGTTAACCTGTTCCAACACCCCTGACTCCATGGTGAAATCACCGCTTCATGTTCTGCAAAAGACTATTGATTCAACTCTGATGTGCTGGAGCAGAGAAGCCTCTAAAACAAGGAGGACAGTGGCCCTCGAGGACATCCCTGTTCTAAAGGATGTACCAGATGGAAAAATCAGACTGTTATGGCTTTGACATGTCATCATTGTTCTACCTGATACTGCAAGACAAATAAAATAAAATAAAATAAAAAATAAATAAAAGTCAAATATCAAGAAAAAAAAACCCATATTGTTCCTTCATCTTATGCCGATCAGTGTTGCACGCTTAGGTGCTGATCAATTGTCGCCATTTTGATCTTTAAATTTATTCACAAACAGTCTTTATTCAACAGGTAGCCTATGGCTCCATTTAATCATTTATTTTGTTAAAATATAGCCAATAAGGGTTTTAATCCTAAATACAAATCTACACAATGTTTTTTTAATTAACTCCTAGAATCTTTGGCAGAAGAAATTGCAAATAATAATAAATAAAAAAAATTGGAAACTTAACACCTTATTTCCTGTTGTCATTAAAAATCTTCAGACTGCAGTAATATAATAAAAAAACTAAATAAAAATGTATTAATTGTGAAACATGAGTCCATCAGAAGACAGTGATCAACAGGCTATAAACATTTTGTATATATTGTCTGGATTTTCTGAGATGTTCATTAAACATATATTATGAAATTAATAGAATAAAAAATATTAAGTAAGAACATCTGAACATGCATCACATTTTTGACTCTTTTTGTATGAGTGTTTTTGTTCGTGAGTTATATTGTAATCTTGTTTTTAAGTTGCTTGAGATTCCTACCCTCCATTTTTCCTGGTTTATGAATTTCTTTAATGACATTAATCTCAAAATCTCAGCTGTGAAAAACTGCCATGGTTTTGTGGTTTAAAGAAGGATCTTGATCCATCACACTTGAGGAGCAATGGCTCGGGCGAGCAGCTTCAGTTCCTCGTGCAGCAGCAGCGGCACCGTCACTGTCTGAATAATTTTCTGTCACAGCCCCTCCACCACCCCCTCTAGCCTTCTTCTCATCTGTGCCTTGATTCCATCTTCCTACTTGTATTTTCAGGAAAAAAAAAAGTTTTTAAAGCTTAACTGCAGCTATGCCAACACTGATGAGCCTTGCAATCAGTGCACTCTTATTGCTGCTTGAATTACTGACTGAGAAATTATAATCAGAATGGCAACTAAATAGATCCAGAGCTAGTTTCAGCTCTTTTTTATGATATCTGTGTGTATTCAGAGATTATTTGGGCCTTTAAATGCTTGATGTGACTTTATCATTTCTGAAAGGATGAAAGGGGTTACTGCACCTTTGCAATTTGATAACACGGTTTTTTTTACAAAAAAAAAAAGCATTCAGAGCTCATTTAGATACTACCTAAATGAAATGTCAATATAATAAAAGCTCTAATTATTTTGTTTACATTATGATAAGCACAACACGTTATTATTTTGTGTTTAAACTGCAAATTGGATCCACAGCAACAGAACAATGTGGTTAAAAGTAAATCTTTGCAATTCATCTGATATCTGTTTCATTTACTGTAGAGTGTGTGAGTTTCTTCTGTGAGACAAAGGAAAAAATAGATTCATAAAAATGTACGCCATATTTCACACACTGTGCCTGTTATGTACTGTATGTGCACGAAGGACACAGTTGTAAAGTGACCTCATGTTTCTGGTTTTCATGTCCCATACGTAAAATCAGGAATACAAATATAAAATGCTTCACTTCTTGGATACACAACATGTGCCATTCATTGGTTTTTATATTTCATTTTTTAGATATGTGCATTTTAGTCTTATTTTTCTTACGTCGTGCTTCAGGTTTTCTTATTCGGGTGCTGGGAAGAGACAGGAAGTTCTGCTGTGATGTGTGAGGGCAGACAACGGTCACAGAAAGCTGGCTATGCGTACTCCTTTGAGTATCTTCTGAACAAATCTCTTATATTAAGCTATTAAAACTTAAGCAAACAAATGTAAATTCATTCAAATGTGTACAAAAACTATTAAAGGCTGTGAAACGACTTGAGTCTGACACATGTGCAAAAGCTTGACAACTTTAAGCTTGTGTAATCTGCATGAGATTGCCTAATCTATGGTTGGACAATATTTCTTTGTGAGATCATGTAAAAAATAAAAAATAAAAAAAATAAAAACTTTTTTTTTTCATACTGATGCATGAAAACAAATCTTTTCTTTGAACAGTTGTCTTTACAAGCCTGTTTCCAGCAGATTCAACAAAGGTACACAACAATCAGACCAGATGGATGAGACAAAACAAATAGTGGAGACAAAATCTTTTGAATTTGTTCATATTATCTCATCATAAAAATGACAAGTTGTAGACTGTATCTGAAGCTCATAAATGAGTCAGTCAGTAACACCAGCAACACATCCACCCTTCGTCCTCACATATGTGCAGAAAAGAAGGAGGCTGTCATGAGAATGTACAGAAATAATATGAATGTATAAGCACTAAATACTAAACTGAAACTAGAAGCTACTGCAAATAGTTTGGCACAAGATGGCTAATACAGCTCAACATAGAGGAAGAAAAAAGAAACTTTAAATGAAAGAGTTAAAAACTGTTTAAACTCACAAACTGTAGATGTTTTGCAGTCTAAAAAAATATAAAACATACACTGAACCTTGATAGATGTTTGCTGAACT